TACTGGAGTGGGTTGTCATTTCCTTCTCCAGGGGATCTTCCCGACCCAGGGATCGAACCCGGGTCTCCCGCACTGCGGGCAGACACTTTAACCTCTGAGCCACCAGGGAAGCCCAGAGGGTATAATAGGGTATAATAGTCTCTGGAACCAGTCCTCTGGAGTCTGAATCCTGGCTCTGCCTCCTGGCTGTGTGACCTTAGGCAAATTGCCTCATCCCTCTGTGTCAGTTTATCTGTACAACAGGGATAATAACAGGACCTGCCTCCTAGGATTGGGATGAAGATGAAATGAGTTGATACTTTTAAAGTGCTTTAACCAGTGCCAGACACACAGCAAGTGGCCTTGTTTAGATATATCTGTGTTGGCTAAATGCCCACAATATGGTAGATCTTACATGACGCTCTGTAGGCTAATAGCCCTCACTTAAAGCCATTCTTTCTGTAGATGGATTGTAAGCAGCATGACCAGGTAATTTATCATCTAAACCAGGAGACTTTGGAGAGAGAAAGGAAGGGTCTATTACTCATTATTCTGGAGGACAGGTGAACACAGGACTGTCCCAGGCAAACTGGTCTCCCTGGTCCTAAGCACCATCTTTGGTAATGAAAATGCAGCAAGTAGCTTATATCTGCACACTGCTCAGTAAGTGCCAGGTTGTGCATGTGAGCTGGCCGTGAGGCATCTCCTGTGATCTTCACCACAACACTAGGAGGTGGACATTTATTACTGTTTTTTCTACTGGTGAGAAAACTGAGGCTCAGAGAGGTTAAGGAATTTCTTAAGTCACACTGTGATGGAGCCAGCTGGGCTCCAGAGCCTTATTGCTTACCTGTACCTTTCTCTTCAGAGGGTGTGATGCAATGGTAAGAATGTTGAGCCCTTTTCAGAGGGATAGCTGAGACCAGCCTGGCAAAGCTCCGGGCTCGAACCACTGCTCAGCATGCAGGTCTGTCCTGGGATCACAGGAAGGTGCCTGCTGCCTTGGGGCCAGTATTTCACAGCACCACAAGGAGCTGTGGACATGGGGATTAAATACCAGGTTGGTGCCAAGAGCCTTTCATCAGGTCACTGCAGCCCATTCTAGGACGGCTTACGCGTCTCATGTGTAAGTCGAAGCTGGTGAAAGTGGATCCTGCCTAAAAGTCAGCCGCCCAAACCTGACGCCACCTTGGCTGGCGTGTCACCCAGGCTGAAAGGATAGCTGAGGACTCAGTCCTAGGGAACCTTCTGAAAGGAGAAGCAGAACCCAAATGAGAGGGCCTGCCTGTAGCTCACCTTTTCAGATCTCCCAGTGTGGCCCTTTAAGTGAGTTCAGGGGATGATCTGCCATCATGAATTGTGTCGATCCTGGAATTAAGAGTTTGGAAACTCCAAAATCAACACTCAGGTATAGGCACAGTTGGGAGTGTTCCCACAGCAGTGGAGAAAAGGAGAAAATGTGTTTTCATAAAAATAGAGGGAAACATGATGTTAAAGATACTCTCTTCAGACAAGGATGGCAGGATGTTGGTAATTGTTGGAGCACAGTCATGGACACATAGATGGGTTTTATACTCTTCTCTTTTAAAAAGCCACCAGATGTGCCAAACGGTTTCAATGTTCAGAAATTTGTTTTAGACACAAGAGAGTGCTCCAGCATAAAGGTGAATACAGACTGCTTTTAGCTTTGAGTCTCAAGTGCCCTTGCCCAGTAGATAAGAATGGCTGGAGGATGGGTGACAGGAAGGACCATGTGGCAGTCAGGCCAAGGCTGGGAGGAGACCCTAGGTTCCAAGAGGCGCCTTCCTTTCCAGCTGCTTCAGTGGTAGCTTACCCTAAAGGATATCTGACATTAAAAATTTAGGGGGTAGAATGCTCAACACATTGTTAATAACAGATTTATGGCTCTGACCAGTGTCATTGACCACTCTTGACCCAAATGGAAATGCCCAAGTGGGAGGTAAGACTCAAATGCATTCTCTTCTTCTCTCTACCACGGTTTCTTTACTATGTAAGGTCACAGATACGCATGATCACTTCTTATGGAAATCATATGTCTTCCGAGCTACAGAGCAGATATCAGATCTAAATGAAGGTGAATCTAGTAAACTTGTCAAGAATCTAAAGCCTTCCCATTCAGTGTTTCATTGTGTTCTTAAAAATTAAATGCTCCTAGTAATTGTGTTAGTTAGATATGTTCCTGATGTGGGCAGAAATTTCAACCCTGACTAGCTTAAACAGACAGGGGATTTATTAGGAAGGACCTGGGACATATCACATAACTGAGGGACTTACCTGATAATTATGACTTGGTAAAGTTTGTGCATGTTCTCTGGTGCAGTCCCCTGACTCTCATCTCTGGCCTCTTAGTTCCATATTTCGGCTTTCTGGGGAGAGAGAGGCTGATTTGCTCCTGGAGAGTCGGTTCTGGTGCCCAAGGGGGAAGGGTTATATAGTACTAACCTGGTCACTGGGTTATGTGTCAACCACCACCCCACCCCACCACCAAGTAGAACGTTTTTTGCACTATGCAACCATGCCTATCACCATAATATTGGTTTATTCTATGCTGTTACGTCCCCCATAGCTATGATGGCCGGAGGACTATTTGATTTTGGAAAGGCCACCTGGCTATAATTGATGCCTGAGTCTGGCCAGAACCAACCCAGTGTCTCAGGCTTGAGTCAAGAGGTTCCATCATGATTATTAAACCCAGGAGAGTAAGGAAAGAGGAGATGCAGACATCCTTAGACTGAGCTAAGGAATGCTCATCAAAGATGGTCCTGTCCGTTGGGAGCCCAGAGAGCATTTTTGTCCCCTGGGTTGTAAATCTTGAGGTTTTATTTGGTATCCTCTTCCTTTCAAAGAGTACATGTGCTGAAAACATCTGTCTCTCCCCAACTCCAAGGAGGAAAAAACAGATGAGGGAAGGTGGTCCTGAGAGCAGTTTCTCCAGGCTCTCTAACTCGAACCACTTCTGGGTAACCCTGCTTTCACTGCCTGGCACCAGACTGAGGGACTTCTTTTCTTTTCCATCCCTTAATCAAGGCCTGAAAGCAGAATTTCACCTAGGCAGAAGAGAGATTGGGAAAGACAGAAAATTAATTGCTCAGTTCACTGGTAAATATCAAGGCAGGGTCCATGCTAGATGGAGAAAGTTGAGTTGCTAGAGAAAAGGCCAAATCTGCAAAGATAAGGTGGGCCAGGACTGGACTGGAACTTGGGACATGAGGCCTGTCCAGTCTCAAAGAGGACACAGCTGGGACATGACACCTCTAATATGATTCTCCTGCATACCTGTTGCCCTGGGACAAGGCATGGTGGGGAAAGCAGGAATTGACTCAACTAGACCATGGCCCGTGGCATCTGGTTAGAGAATGGAATATGTGACTGTGCTCTGCTTCTGCAGGGCCTTTATGTGAAAGCGTGTGGTTTTGGCAGTGCTCTCTGAGCCCTGACCGGGAGAGGGTGGGAGCTGAAATCCACTCCACTCAGTAGGCTGTATGCTCAAGAAGTGGCAGAGATGCCCCCACTGCTCCTGAGCTGCTCCTTAGGCTTTAGCTTAGATCTGTTCCCTGATGACCTTCTGTGTGTAAGAGCACTGGTCCCTTTCCTTGGGCCGGTTGGCATGAGATTCCAGAATTGCTGTGATCCTCAGACCTCTATGGGAAGCAAGAGAGAATTTTTAAGAAATGTGTCTTAAGCCTCTATGTAAGATTAAAACAATCAAGAAGGGGATATCTATGAATGCCATTTGCAGTTGGAGGTGTCTGGAGAGAAGGAGAGGAAGTATTTGTCCCCAGCTAGTGAGCCGTCCCCAGCCAGTGAGCCGTTCCCAGTGGGAAGGAACAGCCTCATCCTGATGATGGCGGCTCACGTGGGAGTAGGCTCCATGTCAGACACGTGGTGAGCAGTGGCGGGGCACTGCCTGCAGCCCGCTGCGAGGAGGACGGCTTGGGAGAGGAGCCTGAAGGCAAGAGTGGGGGCGAGGACACCCCAGGAAGAAAGATGGTGGTACTGCTGCCCCTTCCTGGTGCCCCCAGAGGGAGAAAGACCTTATGTTTTCTCACTCACTGAAGAGAGGACAGCACCTCTGGGCTCCTCACATGCCCCAGGCTTCAGGGCTACCTCTTGATGAGGGTGAAAGAGGAGAGTGAAAAAGATGGCTTAACACTCAACATTCAAAAAACAAAGACCATGGCATCTGGTCCCATCACTTCATGGCAAATAGATGGGGGAAAAGTGGAAACAGTGGCAGATTTTATTTTCTTGGGCCCCAAAATCATTGCAGATGGTGACTGCAGTCATGAAATTAAAAGATGTTTGATCCTTAGAAGGAAAGCTATGACAAAGCTAGACAGTGTATTAAAAAGCAGAGACACCATTTTGCCAACAAAGGTCCATCCAGTCAAAGCTATGGTTTTTCCTGTAGTCGTGTACAGATGTGAGAGTTGGACCATAAAGAAGGCTGAACACCTAAGAATTGGTGCTTTTGAACTGTGGTGCTGGAGAAGCCTCTTGAGAGTCCTTTGGACAGCAAGGAGATCAAACTAGTCAATCCTAAAGGAAACCAACCCTGAATATTCACTTGAGGGACTGATGCTGAAGCTGAAGCTCCAATACTTTGACCACCTGGTGTGAAGAGCTGACTCATTATAAAAGACCCTGATGCTGGGAAAGGTTGAAGGCAAAAGGAAAAGAGGGCCGTGAAGGATGAGATGGTGAGATAGCATCACCGACTCAACAGACATGAATTTGAGCAAAGTCTGGGAACAGTGAAGGACAGGGAGGCCGGGCGTGCTACAGTCCATGGGGTCACAAAGAGTCGGACATGACTGAGTGACTGAACAACAACCAGGGCTGCCATGGTCATCTTTACCCTGATATTCTTGAGCCTCTTGCAATGGGTAGTTTAAGCTCGGCCTGTGTGTAGCGTCTGCAAAATTCACATGTGTTGCCTTGATGCCATGTTCATAGCAGGGACACTGCATTTATATCTCGTTTCCTGTCTGGCTGAGCAGATGCAGGAGCTGGAGCAGAGGCTGCTGGAGGCAGAGCAGAGAGCAGAGAACGCGGAGACCCAGGTAACGGGAAGGAGATGGTGGTATGTACAGGGAGAATGACCTTTCCTGACCCTTCCCCTGAACACTCATGGACACATCACACCGACGTGGCCCCACCCAAAGAGACCTGCTTCTTACAGGGACGAGGAAAACCAGCAGTCATGTGTTAGACCTTCTGAACAAATAAAGGTGCCTGGGGCTTGCTATGGGCATGAGGGAATCTTGGGTAAGGGTCAGTACAGTGAGCAGATACATGGCTTAGTCCAAATAGGCTGGGTTATGCTGAGATAACCAGTGAAGTCTGACATGTCCACTGTTTATCATATTTAGTTCTCATTCACGGTACCTGTCCACTGAGAGGTCAGCCAGGGATTCTGCTTCACACAGTGATTTGGGGATCCAGGTGAATAGAGTCCCCCATCTTCCAGCTGAATCAGCTAGAACATACAGTCTTCTTGGTTGCCATGGCAGGGAAAGAGAGCTGGGTGCTTGTGCAGCAGCTCTGAAATACTTCAGCCCAGAAATAATGCATTATTCCACTCCGACCCATTGGCTTCAGTGACTTCCACGGCAACCTAACTGTAAGATGGCTGAGAAGTATTAGGAAGTTCATGAACATTCAATGAGCAGCAGATGTCTCTGTCACAATGAGGTTGGAGCATTTCCTCTCCAGGGCTTTTTGTCCTGCCCAGCTTGTCCTTACTGGGGCCCCCAGAGTTAGATGGCCCTACACCTGGCTATTCCTTCCTCGTCAATTCCTTCTTTTTCCAAGATGAGGCTTCATAACTGGTCACTGAATTAATTGGCTCCCATTGCCCTGGGTAAGGACTCTGCCTGGGAGTCACAGGCTGGGGCGTCAGGAAGCATCCCACCCCATGTCAGCGGTGTCACATCCCTACCCTATGACACGATTGGTACTTTCCAGGTGGGTGTGATGGAAGAGAAGGTGAAATTGTCCAATCTGATGAGTGTGGACTCAGCAGGCAGCCTGCACCGGAAGTACCAAGAGTTGCTGAAAGCCATGCAGGGCAAAGAGGAGCTCATCATCGAGCTGGAGGCACAGCTGGAGAAGCAGGTAAGTACTAGTGCCCTTTGCAGCAGCTGGAACAGTTGCCTACAGCCCCTGAGCTGAGCCCCTCTTCTTCAGCCTCCGGTGTTAGGGGCTCACTCCCTCACCAGCCTGTTCATTCACATAGAGGTATAATTACTGGAAGGGGAGTGAGGAGCCAGGCAGGGGATGTGGTGGGAAAGGGAATTGGAGGCTGACCCATCTGGGTTGAATCCCACCTGTATCACCTGTCCGCTCCCTTGTGGCTGAGTTGGTAAAGAATTCGCCTGCAATGTGGGAGACCTGGGTTCGATCTGGGTTGGGAAGATCCCCTGGAGAATGGGAAGGCTACCACTCCAGTACTCTGACCTAGAGAATTCCATGGACAGAGGAGCCTGGCAGGCTATAGTCCATGGGGTCATGACTGAGCAACTTTCACTTCCTTCCTTCACTTCAGCACCTGTGAGCAGATGACTTAACCTGTCGATTCTCGTTTTATACATCTGTAAAATGGGGGTTGTAATATGTCATAGGGCTGTCAGCAGAATAAACTCAGGGAGTCAGAGTAGAGTGTCAGACACGAGGTTGGTGTTTGGTCAGGAGAGCGTTTCCTTCTCCACCACGGGCCCTGCCAACCTGTGGGACATGTAGTATCTGGAGCAGCACAGAGCCGGGCCATCAGCCTCGGTTGGCCAAAGTTTCTCAGTGCACCTGAGTAGGCAGAGCCCAAGGTCGCTGCCTCCTCTGAAGAGCATATGGAACCCAGGAGAGGCCAGTGCCCAGTGTTGCAGCCACAGTCAGCATGTTTGTTCTGGAGAGGACATCTGGGACACCCCCTGCCACCAGTCCCATACACCCAGCTTCCCCGTCACGATCTCATTGACTTCATCCTAATTCTGTCCGTCCCTTCTGCCATTGGTCTTACCTACCCAGCTTTTCCCTGGTGCCAGAGCTTCACTGTTTCCAACAAAAAAAACTTCATAGCATGGCCAGACAACTTGCAATTTTCCACATGTGTACTCTCTATGGAAGCCCCAGCTGATCCTGCTAATGCCTTCCCACTGTTGCAGACACATTTGTAACCATTTGCCAGTAGTCACTGAACATTTCCTTTGTGGGGCATATCTCTCACAGTGTGGGGCACCATGTCTTCCTGAAAAATCATGGGGAAATACAATATTGACACATGGAATTTTTCATCAATTTCCCACTGATTTTAGGTGCCTGTCTTCTTTTGGGCTTGCCAGGTGGCACTGGTGGTAAAGAACTTGTCTGCCAATGCAGGAGACATAAGAGACATGGATTCAATCTCTGGGTTGGGAAGACTTCTGGAGGAGGGCATGGCAATCCACTCTAAAATTCTTGCCTGGAGAATCCCATGGACAGAGGAGCCTGGTGGGCTACAGTCCATGGGGTCACAAAGAGTCAGACACAATTGAAGCAACTTAGCACTCATGTACATTTCTCTTTTGAGTGGTCCATAGTTAAAAGTGGCAGCATCTGGCATGGGTGGACAAAATGCTTCCTGCTAAAGCTGAGGTCAGGAAAAAAATCCTTTCATGGTAATACTAGGTCCAGATCAGAATAGGAAAAATGCTGTTCTGCAAGTCAGGAGACCTGGTTTTAGTCCCAGCCAGGCCATAAACCAACAGAGGCAACTTATTTCACCCTCTGGGCCTCAGTTTCCATAGCCACATAAAGATCAGGTTATCAGACTAGGTCGGGTTGGCAAATTTTTTCTGCAGAGGGCCAAGTAGTAAATATTTTTGGCTTTGCAGGCCACATGACATTGTTGCAACTACCCACCTCTGCTGCTATAGCCTGGAAGCAGCCTTGGACAGCACAGAAAGGAATGGGCAGGGCTGTTGGGGGAGGGCCCAGGTGGAAGGCTGGATTTGGCCTGTGGCCAGTCTGCAAACCGCTAGATCAGGGGTCCCCGACCTCCAGGATCTAGTGCCTGATGATCTCAAGTGGAGCTACTGTAATAGTAATAGAAATAAAGCCTGTGATAAAGCACTTGAATCATCCCCAAACCATCCCTCCTACCCACTCACCCCAGTCCATGGAAAAGTTGTCTTCCACGAAACTGGTCCCTGGTGCCAAAAAGATTGGGGACCACTGCACTAGAAAAGCTTACCAGTTCTCCAGCTCTGAAATACTGAGTCAGACATATTCATAGCCCCATCTCATTTCCACCAACCCTCTTGTTTGGGGCTTACATCCATCATCTTACAGTTTCGAGGCCGTTTTCCCCTGGAAGTGTGACCAAAGTTGTTCTAGGTGGTCTTCAAACTGAGAATACACCAGTTGCCTTCATGTTCTTTAGAGCAGGGAACTAGCACTCATTCCAGAACGGGTTGATTACCTGCTCCTCAGGCGCTGTGCTGTGTACTTTCTGTCCCTTCATCCTCAAGATGATCTGGAAGGGAGATGTGTCATTGCCTATTTTAGAGATGACATCACCAGGGGGTGATGGAGCCTGTGCAGTGGTGCCCAGCAGCAAATCAGCTTCAGAGGCAGAGGCAGATCCCCACAGATTGTATTTTGTTCTTCCCTAGGCTGCTGTTCTTTAGATGCAAACCTCACTTTTCAGTTACCTTACAGGGGTCCCTCTGTATCCACAAGGGACTGGTTGCAGGACGCCCCACAGATAACAAGATCCACGGATGCTGGAGTTGATTATATAAAAGGGCGGAGTACCCTTTTATATAAAAAAGGGTATATACAGATCTTCCGCATCTGTGGAATCAGGTCTGTGGTGGGTTGAATCTGTGGATGCCAACCCCACCAGTAGGAAGAGCTGACTGTACTCCACCCTTTTATCTAATGACTTGAGCACCCATGGATATTGGTATCTGCAGGGTGTCCTGAAACCAGTACCCTGGTACGTATCAAGGGATCACTGTATACTATTGATTATTTTTAGGGAATTGCACTCATGTGCTAATTTACCTTTATTTTTTGCTTTTTAACTATAAAGGTAATACATGCTTATAGTAAAAAATACAAATGGACCAGAAGGATATAAAATGACAGCATTTTTCCCTCTGGCATCATCCTTCATTTCCATTCCTTGCCACTAATCACTGTTCATTGTGACCATTTCCTGTGTATCAGAGCACAGTGTTCCCTTTTCATTTTGTTTATTCAGCCAAACCCTAAGAGTCCACAAAGACTCTTAGAGGTTATTTCCAGTTTTTAGGGTTTTTTGGTTTTTGTTTTTGTTGCTTTATCAAATAATAATGCAACTAATGATTCCTAAGCAGTAGATTTTTAGATCAATGGTATGGACATTTAAAATGTTGACAAATACTATCAAGTGTTTCCCCCAAAAGCCTTTGCCAGTTTGTAGGAAGTGAGCTGTTTTCCAACACCCTTGATAATTTGGTTATGTCAAACTTTTAGGTTGTGTTAGTCTAGTCACTTTAATCTGCATTGTTAAAATTATAATGAAGATTGAGCAGCTTTTCAGGGGTTTCTTGGCCTTTATTTTGCTGTCGATCTATTCATATCCTTTGCATAACTTATTCATTTGTTCATTTCAAATTATCCCCTTTGTATGTAAATCATTTGTGTTGCAAATCATCCCCCAGTTGGGTTTTTTGTTCAGGGGGGCTGTGCTGGGTCCTCCTTGCTTTTCTCCAGTTGTGGCAGTTTGCAGGCTTTTCTCTAGTGGTGGCAGCGAGCGGGGGCTCCTCTCTAGTTACGGGCACGGGCTTCTCATTGCAGTGGCTTCTCTTCTTGCAGAGTCTGGGCCCTAGACCACCTGAGCTTCAGTGGTTGCAGCTCGCAGGCTATAGAGTACAGGCTTAATGGCTGTGGTGCACTGGCCTAGCTTAGTCGTTCCATGGCGTGTGGGATCTTCTCAGACCAGGGATCAAACCTGTGTCTCCTGCATTGGCAGGTGGATTCTTTACCACTGAGCCACCAGGGAAGCCCTCCAGTTAGTCTTTTAATTTTAAGGGCATCTTTTTTTGGTTGTACAGTAATTAATAGTGATGATGTAGATTTTTTTAGTCTTTTCCTTCATGGCTATTTGGGATTTGTATTATGCTTAGGAAGGCCTTTCCCACTTGAAGAATATTTTCTAAAAATTCATAAATGAATGTATTTTCCATATTGGCCCACCTCCATCCTGTCCGGTAATATTTCTTCTCAGGGCCTCCCACCTCCACTTATTCAATAAAGCAGGGACCGCCATGACTAACTAAAGGCCCTTTCCATCTTGCAGAAGCAGATGAGAGCTGAAGAGGCAAAAGTTGTTCAAGAAAAAGCTGCAAAGATCAAAGAATGGGTAACACTGAAATTAACAGAAGTGAGTTAAAAGCAGGTCTGGGAACACCTGGGAGGAACCTGTGTGGGGTTTCTTGCTCTGGTCCCCCTGTGTTTTTCTGCTTCCATCTGTATTCGGGGTCTTGCCTGCCTTTCATGTTGTTAACCATTTGTCCCTCCCTCAGCTTAGATGCGAAGACACTTCACTTTCCCCTTCCTGTTGTCAAGGTTGGGTTTCCCTGGAGCTCCTGGTTAGCTCTGTGACTGGGGAGAAGGAAGGATTTTCCCTTCTGAGAAGTCCCATCAGTTTCCCTCTGAGAAGCACACATGGTCCTTACCATCCACCCTCTGTCCTCACCATTCTTTTTAACTGTTTTTTTTTTCTTTTTTATGGTCAGATATACAAAGTGTACCATTTGAGCTGTCTTTAAAGTGTACAATGCAGTGGAATTAAGTACATTCACAGTGATGTGTACGCATCACCATCATTTCCAAAATTCTTCATCACCCCAGACAGAAACGCTGTACCATTAATCACTAACTCCCCATTGTCTCTGTTCTACTTCCACCATCTCTTTTCTCTGTCCACCTCTGTCCATCTCTTTTCATAGTTTCATTACTTGCTACAGCTTTGTTTAGGAAACTCAGGACTAGAAGCTATAGCACTGTGGGAAAAAAAAGAAAAGCTCTAAACAAAAGGAAAGGGAATTAAAGTTTGGAGAGGAGTGAACACTCATCGTGGCTTCCTCTTTCCTGACACAAGTGACCCACACCTGCAGGAGGTAACTGCTCATTTTGCCTCCTGTCCCATCTGTGGGTACACATCTCGGGTCACCTGCTAGACTATTAGTCCTTGGGGACAGAACTGATGCCTGTTACTCCATCTTCCACAGCTCTGACCTCTTGCTAAAAGAAGCTCAGTAAAAGTGTGTTGGCTTTCATTTCCAAGAAAATGCAGCCCTTCTGAGGCTGGATCTCATGGGATGGTGTGTTGAGCAAAAGAAGCCAGACAGAAGTTCACCGCGAAGAGTTCTGTTTACATAACTTTCTAATGGGTACAACTACATGAATGTGCGTAGGGATGCATTCTTAGACAGTAAAACACAGAAAGCAAGGAAATGAGTTTAAGAGACTCAGAAGATTTGTCTTCTTGGTGGGGAGGGAGGACTGTGTGACTGGGGAGGGATGAGTCTTGGTTGCCTGGGGTGCTGGCAGATTCCTCTTTCTTAACCTGCATCGTAGTCATATGACTTTTCACGTCACAGTCATTTGTTAAGATATTCATTGGTGTGGAATGAGTTTTTTGTGTTATATTTCACCACTTTTTGAAAGGTTAAAACAACCGAGAAAAGAAAGCCCAAGGGCTCCCAAATGGAATCTTGTCCCAACCATAACCAGGGAGCCCAGAGGGAAGGCAGAGGTCGGGGCTCCCAGAAGAGTCATCAGTGGATTGGGTTAAGGGCAGCATGGGTTCTGTTTTGAGGATTTGATCTTTGAGAAGGATTTTAATCTCGTTTTGAATTATTTGTCTAAACCTGTAGGCTTGAGTATTCTAAATCTTCACTTTTCTTTATGCCTAGCTTGAGATGGAGAATCAGCACCTGAAAAGCTGTAATCAGCACCTGGTGGAGCAGGTGGGAGCCCTTCAACATGCACTAGAAGGTAAGTGGGCCAGCCTGAGCGGGGACTGGGGGAGTGGGGTGTGTGTGGAGGGGGCAGGGGTGCTTGCGTATGTGGTGGGTAGTGGCTGAATTGGGGGAGCTCTTAATATGCCTATATTTGCCCCAACCACAGCTCTGCAGATGGCACCTTCAGGGAAGCTGCTGGCGGCCCCCCAGGGAACCATAGAGCGGGAGTCTGTCCCTTCAGGACCAGGGGCCCAGCCAGCGGGGCAGGACAGTGGCCCTCCAGCCCAGGGTGCCCTGAACACAGCTATCCCCGCACCTTCTCCGGGTGCCCTGCAGAGCAAAGACTCTGTTCCTAAAGCAGGAAGCCCCGTGGAGGATTCTAGTTCCCAGACAGTCCACCCTGGAGCAACATCAGAGGCCAAGACCCTTCCACTTCGTCTGGGAAGACAGGGCTGTCCTGGCCAGCTGTGCCTGAGGCCTCGCACCCCCAGGCATGGTCTGGCCTCCTGGGGTGAGGGCCTGGTCACTGCTCAGGGAGGGACGCTCCCCCGGATGAAGACTTCTGCCAAGGAAGCTGGCCCCGGCTGCAGCCTGACCCTGCCAAAGGCCCGGGCTCCCAGTACCCTCTGGGACAGCATCCAGCTGGCCAAGCGGCACCACAGCCAGCCTCAGGCAGGCCCTGGGCACTTCAGCCACGTGGTGCACATTGAGATGGGGACCCTCTCAGCCTTCCACCCCCTTGGCCTTCCCAAGGGGGCGGTCAGAGTCGAGCCCTGGGAGGAACCAGAGAAGATGGAGATGGAGGAGCAACCCCCTGCGGGGAAGAAGGAGGCCCCGGGAGCAGAGCTGGAGGAAGTGAATTTGGAGAACAAACCACCGCCACCCCCCTTGCACCGCTTTCCATCCTGGGTAAGAAGCTCCCCCAGGGACAGGACAGAGGGGCCTGGCTGATGATATGACCACTTTTTTGGTGCCCAGACCACCCCACCCACAAGGGGTGGAGCCAAGATTTCTGATGATCAGATGGTGGCCGGCTGTTTCCTGAGCTTGGGCCACAGCCAAGCTGTGTGCCTGTTTTCTCATGTAATCTTTGTGACTCTCCAAGGACGTGCAATCTGGTGGCTAAGAGCACCTAGGATCAAACAAGAAGGGCTGAATCACTAGCTCTGAGAGTTAGCATGAGCTACTGAACCTCTGTGCCTCAATTCCCCTGTCTGTAAAATGGGGAAAGCAGTACCTGCTTTACAGGGTTGCCCTGAGGATGAAGTGTGTTAATATGTATTTGGTGAGTAGTTGCAGCAGTAGTTCACAGCAAGGGGAGAGGTTGTTGGAAACAGGGTAGGGGCCAAGAGAGGTTAGAACACCACCAGAACGATCCCTCCTCTTGTTCACAGCTATCTTGTAAATCCAGATGCTTTGGAGTCCTAAAGCAGAGGTGGGCAGTAAGGGAGCATTCGGCAAGAGGGCTCAACTCCTTCTGTCCCTGAGATAGGATCACTCTTGTCACTTTAGGGAACCATAATGGCCAGAAAACCCAACATCTCTTCTTGGGTGGGGCCAGCTGGGCAGTAACCTCATGGGAAAAATTGAGACTGAAAATTGGGGGGAAGGCCGTTTCTCAACCTGAGGGAGTCAGATGGACTTACTTGCAGATTTAGAGTTCCTTTTTCTGCTGCTGCTGCTAAGTCACTTCAGTCATGTCCGACTCTGTGCGACCCCATAGACGGCAGCCCACTAGGCTCCACCAACCCTGGGATTCTCCAGGCAGGAACACTGGAGTGGGTTGCTGTGCTCTCCTCCAGGGGATCTTCCCAAACCAGGAATCAAACCCACATCTCCTGTGTCTCCTGCATTGGCAGGTGGGTTCTTTACCACTAGTGCCATCTGGAAGCCTGAGTTAGGCATCAGGTAACCTTCTGTAAAACACTCTTGAATTTGTTTAACCTAAATCCCACAAGTTTCACTTTCTGTCTATGAAGTCAGAGGCCTATCTGTAGTTGAATTCCATAACCACTACTGGCAGGAATAATTTTTTTATGCCTAATTTTACCACTTGGACCCAGTTTATCTGCCCTACATAAGCAGAGAATTCCCTGCCCCAGCCCAGTGCCACCCCCGCTCCATAATCCCTCCTTGCTGCCCGTCACTTTCCTTCCCTTGCCTCCAGGTACCGCAGGCCCTCATCCCAGCCCTTGCCAGCCCATTCCTCCCTCCCCCAAGTGCCCCAGCACTGCCGCTCCTCTCTGGAGTGGCCTTGATGTAGCATCCACCCCGCTTCCCGCCCCAACCCCAAGAACCAGGCCAACAACCTTTCCCAGTCCTGTGCCTCACATGTCACCTGAAGGGGCCTTTGTTTTCCCTTTACCTTGAGTGGAAAAGAGATATGGAAAAGGATAGGTGGGGCTTCTGGGTTGGTTGGGAGGGATCCAAACCCTAAGCCAAGCTCCCCAGACCTGTGGGCCTGCTTCAGAACCAGGGAACCCTGAGAAGAGGCAAGGGAAGAGTTGGGGTGGGCATTCCTGTTGTCTTCCGTGGTGGGGTTCAGGAGTCTGGGTGAGCTAGGACTTTGAGCTCGAAGCCTAACCATGATATGACATTGTTACCATAGGGAAAAAAGATGTCTCAGTTTTCTAACAACTGGCTTACAAAAGGGCACGTCCTTGCCATGGGACTCTGACCTCCTCATTGTCAATGCCCCAACTTCTAGGGCTCTGAGGTGCAGAGAAACAGGTCCTAGTCCCCTCTCCTCCTGAACTTCTTGCCCCAAGGGGAAGGGCCGCAGCGAGGGAGGAAATAAATATCAGCTGATGAGCACTGGCTGTATTCCAGGCATTAGATGTTTTTGTTGATAATTTTATTTACTTGTCACAACAGCCTGAAAGGTATTATTTATTACGCCCATTTTGGTTGGTTGGTTTTAGTCACTAAATCGTGTCCAACTCTTGTGACCCCATGGACCATAGCCCGCCAGGCTCTTCTGTCCACAGGATTTTCCAGGCAAGAATACTGGAGTGGGTTGCTATTTCCTCCAGGGAGTCTTCCTGACCCAGGGATCGAACCTGGGTCTCCTGCATTGCAGGCAGATTCTTTACCAACTGAGCCACCAGGGAAGCCCACATTTAGAGCCGCGGAAAATGAGGTCCAGAAATGATGTTGACTTGCCCCCAGATCCCCCCGCCCCTGCCCTTGGAGTCACTGACTAAGCGTGAATGTGGACCCAGGTCTGCCCGCCTCCAAAGCCGAGGGCCGGGATGGGCACAGGGGTGGGTGGGGTGTGTGGGCCCTGACCTCCTGCCCCCGCCCTGTTCCAGGAGAGCCGGATCTACGCTGTGGCCACGTCGGGCATGCGGCTGTCTGAAGTGTCTGTCAGAAGTAATGCCACCTGCTGCGGTGAGTCCCAAGTGGCTCCTGTGGTGGGCAGGGTGGGCATGCGTGGAGGACAGGACTCTGAGCTACGCCCAGGCCAGGTCACCTGCAGCCCATTCCTTCCCACAACAGGTGCGGTTCAGGTGAAAGCACGTGGCCAGGGCTCCAAGGAAGCTGCAGGATTCTGCCCATCAAGTGCAGGGTGGGAGTGGGCGTGGCCGGAGTTGTAGCCAATTACAGAGATGGAAGGGGTTTTGGAGGCGGGGCCTCCAGCAGCCGTCCACCTGCGCCGGCTTTCCCTGCCGGTGCGAGGACTGTGGGCTGAAGGAGCCGCCAGCCCTTGCTGTGTGTGGCCCCAGAGTCAGTCACCCGCCACAGCGTCCCCAGAGTCACCCGCCACAGCGTCCCCACAGTGATGCGAGCGCCGCGTAGTCACATGGCTTGTAACTCATCTTGGCAAGAGTGGGACTGAGGAAGACCTTGGCCCTCGTCCTGGTATCTGTCACCCGGTCCGTCCGGTCTGTCCAGAGGGCTGTTTGTTTCAGGGAATGCTGTCGACGCAGATCTCTCTCCTCCTGGCGCCGCTCAGGTCTCTGCCTCCCTCCCACCCCTTCCTGAGTTATGTCACCGGAGTGAATCTCATTCCTCTCTCCTGCCCCTCCAGCTTCAAGCCCTCCTGCCCTTGCATCACCCGGGGCGTTCTCTGGCCTTGTCTACAAGAACGTCACCGTGCCTGTCTACACCGCCCTGAAGGGGGTAAGAAGCCGCTGTTGGAGGAGGGATTGTCCTCCTCCAGAGAGGCCTTCCCTTCACCTCCTGACCACCACCCGTATCTGCCGGCAGTGGCTGGGGTCGAGCTCTAGGGTCAGGCCCCTGAACACACATGTAACCCTGGGCAGGCAGCTCAGTGCCCGCCCGCCCCCCGCGTGTATCATTTTGTTTTGTTTATCTTTATTAGATTTTTTTTTTTTTTTTTTTTTGCTTACACTCTGTATTACCAGGGTAATTGTGTACTATATGTCCAGTCCTGTGCTTATGTTGCAAGAATGGTAGTTCAGTTCAGCAAGTAGTAAATCTGTGCTAGGCCAGTGCCAGGTACATAAAGTGCAGAGCAAATGGCACACAGTTTCTGTCCTCTAAGAGCTGATAACCCAGATAAGGGGATATGATGAATTGACTTGATTTTAGAGGGGCCGTGGACACAGTGGTGGCACCATGGTGACTTTCTTTCCCTTCTAGTCATAATATATATATAGCAAGCCAGTCCCTGGCTCATGCACCCTTCTTAGCCTAGATTCCTTTCTCCCTTCCCCAGTTACCAGTTACCAAATTCTTGCCAGCATCCTGCTCTTTCTGTCTGTTACCTTGTTCCAGCCATGCTGGCCTCTTTGCTTTCTCTTGAATGTATAGGCAAACTCCTGCTTTTTTTTTTTTTTAATTAATTAATTTATTTATTTTTTTTTTTTATCACAACCATAGTGTATTTTTTTTTTTTTTTTTTTTACATGTATTCCCCATCCCGGTCCCCCCTCCCACCTCCCTCTCCACCCAATCCCTCTGGGTCTTCCCAGTGCACCAGGCCCGAGCACTTGTCTCATGCACCCAACCTGGGCTGGTGAACTGTTTCACCCTAGATAATATACGTGTTTCAATGCTGTTCTCTTGAAACATCCCACCCTCGCCTTCTCCCAGAGTCTTATTACTTGTTTATCTTTATTAGATTTTTTAAAATCTATTTTTAATTTTTCTTCCAATTTTATTGAGGTGTAATTAACACACAGCATTGTATAAGTTGAAGGTGTGTAGTATAATAGTTTGACTTACATACATCACGAAATGGTTACAATGATAAGTTTAATAAACATCCATTATCTCATATAGATATAAAATTTAAGAAATAGAAAAAATACCTTTCCCTTGTGGTAATGACTCTTGGGATTTACTCTTTCATGTATTAACATATAACAGTGTTAATTATATTTATCATATCGTGCACTACATACTTAGTTCTTACTTATAGCTAGAAGTTTGTACTTTTGATCACCTTCATCCAATTCCCCCACTTGCCCCACGAGTAACCACAAGTCTGATCTCTTTTTCTATGAGTTTCTTTGTTTCTGAAGTATAATTGACCTGCAACACTATATGAATTCCTGGTGCACAGAAATATCTTTATTAGGTTTTTATTAGAAAAATTCTACATTTACAAAAATGTGAATCGTTATGATTGAGGGCAAAGTAAAAAGTTAGAGGTTAAACCAATTCCTGCTCCACCTCTGCTCCTCATCCTTCCACATGTCTGTCCCAGAGACCAGTGGGGTTCCAGCCTGAATTTTTTATGTGTTCAAACATGTATTCCCATATGTACTCCCATAACTTTTCTACATTTTAAAAAACATTAATTTATTTGGCTGCCTCCGGTTTTAGTTACAGCACATGGAATCTTCACTTCATCGTGTGGCACTTTCATTGTGGCATGTGGACTCTTAGTTGCTCCACGGCATGTGGAGTCTTAGTTCCCTGACCAGGGATCAAACTCATGTCACCTGCATTGTAAGATGGATTCTCAACCACTGGACCATCAGGGAAATCCATCTATATATTTTTTTTTAAACAAAAATCAGATATTGCTGCAACATGATGTTTTCATATATTTTGGTCTGCTTTTGTTACTGTTTTTTGAGATCATAACAGTAATACTTTGTAAAACTTGTTTGTAGAAGGATAAAAAGCCAAAAGTGAAATTTCCTCTTACATTGCTTTTCCCTTATTCCTAACCCTAGAGGCAACTATCATTAATGGTTTGGGGTTTATTCTGTAATGCCCTCTGATGCATTTACAAATTTTCTGTCCCTCTCTTACACGCACACACAAAGAGGATGATGTCATACATGTCAGTCTGCCTGTTGCTTGTGCACCCAGCCATATGTCAGGTCTTCCTGCCCTGCCTCCACAGGCAGCACAGCTCTGCCTCCCTTTTTAGGGCTGTCCAGTATCCCTGATATAGATGCCCCATAACGACTTTAACTTGTCCTCCCCTGATTCACAACATGGGTCATCTCTGTCTTTCTCTAAAATCAATGTTGCGATGAACATCACCTTGCAAATACTTCTCTGTGCACTTATATATACATATTTCTGTAGGACCTAGTTCTAGAGGTGGAACTTATGGGTAGATAATATGTATGTTTTAAATTTTGACAGGTAGTGCCAAATAACCTTCTAAAAGATTTTTATCACATTCTAGAGTATCCTTTTCTGCACAGTTTCCCCAACATTGAAGTAATTGGTGTTTTAAAAATTTTTACCATGATCTCTCAATTTGTCATCCCCACCCACTTTTAAAGCTCGTGTCTCACACTTGGCGGGGAGCACGGGTCCCAGCAGCCAGGTGTTCAGCCCCAGTGGGGCAGCTCCACTGGGGACCACGTGGTGTGCCGGGGGGGAGAGATGAGAGGTGAGGATGCAGGGGTAAGGTGGTCAGGTCGGGAGGGGACAGTTGTCTTTTGGGTGTTGCAGCTGGGTGGAGGCGTCCCCATGGGTTAGACAGGCTGTGTCGGCCACACCTGGGGCACGTGGAGCTGGAATGAAAGTGCAGGTGGGCGGGGGCTTGCTTTGCAGCAGGAGCTGCAGCGGGGAGGGGGCCTGTCTTGCAGAAAGCCACGCAGATCAGCTCGGTGCCCTTTGTGGACGAGTCCTCTGGGTCCGATGATGACTGCAGCTCCCAGGCAAGCTTTCGAATTTCACTCCCCTGCTCTGAGTCCAGGAAGACCAGTGGACTGGGCAGTCCCCGGGCCATCAAGAGAGGTAGGGAGGAGGGGGGTGGGAGGGATATGAAACAATGAGGGGCCCCTCCTCTCCTCCCATGGGTGGTCCTTCTTCGGCGTCCCTGGTTGGTGAGGAAGGCCCTGGAGTTCCCAGGCTGGGCTAGTCCAGGCCTGGACTCCCCCTCCCTTGGACAGGCGTCTCCGTGTCCTCGCTGAGCTCCGAGGGTGACTACGCCATTCCCCCGGATGCCTGCTCCTTGGACAGTGACTACTCTGAGCCTGAGCACAAACTGCAGCGCACCTCATCCTATTCCACGGACGGGCTGGGCCCAGGCGGGGTGAGCTGGGGGCTCCGCTCCCACCCCACGGGGCCCAGGCAGGGCTGGGTGGGAACGGACCTCCAGCACGAGACCCAGGCAGCTGCTGTGGGGTCCCTGGGACTGGCGAAGGGACAGCAGGGCCTGGAGGCTGTCACTGATGATGTGAGGCCTCGGGGAGTGGGCTGGGGGTGTGCAGTTAGGAGGTCAGGTGCACACAGACCCCCATCACTATGGCCCAGGGGGCCTAGTGGAACAGGAGGAGTTTACACGTGTTGCCTCTTTAGCTCCACGCTGACCCGGGGATGCTGAGCGCTAATAATGTATTTATTGAGTTCTTAGTGTGCCGGGCACCATGCTCAGGGCTTTGCATGCAGTGTCTCATTTGTCCTCACGGTCATCTCAGGCTTATTACCCCCTCTCGCGGATGAGAAGTCTGAGGCTCAGGTGTGCTGTTGTGCTCCAGAGCCAGCGGTGAATCCAGGTGGCTCATTCCCCATCCCTCGATCCGCACCGCTGTGCTGCCCTGTCTTGTCTTTCCCTCCCCCTCCACAGACTCTGCTCCCCGACTCAGCTCATGTTCCCCAAACTCTTCTCTTGCCCCTCCTTGCTGCCTGGGATGGCCTCCTTCCTCCTCTAGGCTCATCTCAAAGGAAAGGCTGAATTCCTTCCAAAGCTGGTTCAGATTTGGCTCCTGCTGGAAGCCTCCCCTGGCCAGCCTCTCACTTGTACAGCCCCTGGTCCACCACCCCCTCATGGTCCTGTGTTGTCTCCCCCTGCCAGCAGGACCACCCATGACTCCTCTCTGCACCCTTAGCCGGGCAGTTCCCTGAAAACACACATTGTCGTTGTTGTAGTTGCTAAATCATGTCCAACACACACAGTAGATACTCAATAATTTGTTTTAATTGATGACAAAGCAGTGATTCTGCTGGGCCCTTTTGTTCTGTGTGATGTCCAGAAACCCCAGTGATTTTTTTCCCCTTCTCACCCTGTACCCCTCCACTCCTGCAGGAGTCACTGGAGAAGTCGGGATACTTGCTGAAAATGGGGAGCCGGGTGAAGACGTGGAAGAGGCGCTGGTTTGTGCTGAGACAGGGACAGCTCATGTACTACAAGTCTCCGGTGAGACCTTCCTTCTCTGGACCATAGGCCAAAGGACCCACCCCAGCCCCAGAACTGCATGAGGGACCAGAAGCCAGGCAGAGGGCGAAGGTCTGGCAGGTGCAAGAGGCAGCCTGGGCAGGTTCCTGAGGCTCTGAGCCCCATATGGGACCAGGAGTGAAATCAAGCCCTGAGCAGTCAAGGGCACTTCTAGACCACTTGGCTTGGTGATTTCTTTTTCCTTTGGAAGCCGAGTTCTTCTTATGCCTGGTCCTATAAATAAACTATTCCCAGGCTGCTCTCACGTGATCGGGGCTGTTCTAACAGGGAAGCTTGTTACCTGCTCCATCTCCTTCCAACGCTGTTTGGAATTAGGAAGCCTTAGGATCCTGGGACCTAGTTTGGCAGGATCTCCATGGAGGACCAATGTTAATGTTTTTTTTTAATTTTTTTTAATGTTTTAGTTTTTTTCAATGTCAATGTTTTAAAGAAGGTGAAAAGGCCTGTCCCTTGTGCATTTCCAGTTGATTGTTAGTGCCTGCCTTGAGCACCATGTTAAAGATTCTGGGCCTGCACCACTCAATGAGTAGGCATGCTCTGATTGATTAATAATGTCTGGAAAGGGTAATGGTGATATACAGGCCGCCTGTTTGTGACACTTAGTATAGAATATACAGTAGAAAGAATTTAAGGGCTTTATAACTTAGGAATAACTTAGTGGCTTCTTGCCCAATTTTTAAAAAGGTTCAAGCTATGCTTTTGAGGCCTGGATCAGCAGGACCCATGTCTCTAATCATTGCTCCATTTACTTAGAACCAGGATCCAGAACAAGTTACCCATCATACCGCAGCCCAGGAACGCTTGGGAGTCACTTTCCCCTTTGTGACCTGGAGTAAGATCTGAGGGGAAACTGTGCTCTGGGAAGGCTCCAACCTCTTTCCTCTTCTTCCTTTCTTTACAGAGTGATGTCATCCGGAAACCTCAAGGCCAAGTGGAACTAAACTCCCGTTGCCAGATTGTTCGAGGGGAAGGTGCACAGACATTCCAGGTGAGCACGCTCCTGGCAGTTAGTGTTTTAGATAGAAGAGGTGCTGGGTTTGGATATGGCTCTGATGAAAACAAAGATGGGGCACAATGAGCATGTATGAAAGATATTACATTGACATTTGCATCGATCCTCATTTGTGGGTTCAAGGAAGGAAGAGGAGGCAGGATGTGAGAAGGAGTGAAGGTAGGAGAGAGATGGAGGAAACGAGGAGAAGAAGGAAGGCCCGGTGGGCCAGAGTTCTGTTCCACCTCATAGCCGGGCCCCTGTTATTCCATCCTCCTCTCCCCACCCCCTCATCCCCCAGCTCATCTCTGAGAAGAAGACCTACTACCTGACGGCTGACTCGCCCAGCCTGCTGGAGGAGTGGATCCGTGTTCTGCAGAGCCTGCTGAAGGTCCAGGCCATTGGGCCTCCAGCGCCGCCTCAGGGGGGCTCCAAGCCCACTGTGAAGGGCTGGCTGACCAAGGTATGGATGGGGGGGTGGGGGAGGCATGTGGGCCTCCTGAGAGTCAGGGGAGCCAGGAGTGAGTCCCGGAGGTGGTGGGTCCCCTCCTGACACAGCTTTCTGCAGAAGGTTCCTCACACTGGTTACCTGTGGTCTGAGTCACATAAGGTGATGGTGAATGACTCTGGAAAAATAGGGATCGAGGTTGTTAGAACAACAGCTGTTCTCAGGACAGAGGAGGGAAAGGAATGTCTTGGACCCAGTTTGAGATCATTCGAAGCTGCCCCCACCCCTGCCTTGTAGCCACCACAGCTCAGTATGAATAGAGGGAAGCTGTGACCTTGGTGAGGCAGGCGTGGCCAAAGACTCATAATATCTCAGGCTGCCCTTAAGACATTTTTTGTTTATTTGTTTGTTTTTGAGCCATGCCACTTGGCATGGGAGATCCTGGTTCCCTGACCAGGGATCGACCCCAGGGCCCTCTGCAGCTGAAGTGCAGAGTCTTAACCACTGGGCCACCAGGGAAATCCCTAAAGACATTTTAATTAGGGCCTTTCTGGTTGCAGGGAGCTGAGAAGCACTTGTTGACCCCAAGGAAGGGGACGTTAACAGGGAAGCGCAGTAACTAGGCCAGGATGCTGTCAGGAGTGATGTGTGAGAAGCTCTGTGCTCGGGGCTCTCCCTCTGCCTTCCTGTTCAGTCTGTGTTCACGGCCCTCTCCTCTGCCCAGGTCCAGTGTTTTTACACTTCAAGATTACATTTGCCCAGGGGCTTCGGCCCACGGTGGCCCTGCCCTCCCAACTCTAGCCCTTGCTGACTAGCAAGTTCTTCTTGTGGTCATATTCCTGGGACAGGACATCTGGTTGGCCAGGTCAACCTTTTAATGGCAGTTCACATGAGGATGAATGGGGTGTCGTGGCCATGGACCCTTGCTGTGAAAGGGCTGGTTCCGTTAGTCGAGAATCTGGGTGGCATCTGAGTTTGACCTGGAATTGACCTAAGGGTCTGAGTTGAACCAGGGGTTTTGAGATGTGTCTCCTTGTGGCTTCTCTTTGCCCGTCCCAGATTTACTTCTGGGGTCATCTGATTCTGATAATGCTGATTCTGATAATGCAGGTCAAGCATGGCCACTCCAAGCTGGTCTGGTGTGCTCTTGTTGGGAGAACCTTCTATTACTATCGAAGCCATGAAGACAAGGTACTTCCTGGCCTCCCAATAGCTTCCCCCAATCCACGTTCCTGTGGCTCTGTGTCCTGATGGAAGGCCCCACCCCAAACCCTATAACCAGTAAGAAGCTAGTGACTGGATCCCTTTCTTGAGTGTGTGACCAGTGTGCAAGGCCCACAGGTTGTTTTTGTGTGGTGTGTCTGTGCTCCTCCAGGCCTGTCTCCCCTTCCCCATCCTCTTGTCCATCTACCTCCTTGATCCCCAGCCCTATAAGCCCTGTGGTTCAGAGGGAGGAGACTCCTCCATCCCTGCCGGCCCTCCCATTCACGAACGGCTCCTGTCTGCAGCGACCCCTGGGCCGTCTGCCTGTGCGGGACGCTCACATAGAGGAAGTGGATCGATCCTGTGACTCAGATGAGGACTATGAGGCTGGAGGAACCCGGCGGTTGCTGTCCTCCCACTACACCCTGGTGATCCACCCCCCGGAGCACAGCCCCACCTACCTCCTCATTGGCACCAAGCATGAAAAGGTGAGGGAGGGGACTGGGCCTCCATGGCAAAGCTCAACCCTTTGATCCTCATCTTCCTTCCATCTTCCCTGAGAGTCCCAAGATTCAAATTTATTTTCCTCCTAGACATGTTGACAACTTGTATTTCCTGATTGGGAATATTCCTTGTACTGGGTTCATTCCCAGCGACCAACATTTATTCACTTGGGCCATGAGATGGAGGGGACCACAAGCTTAGGAACTTAGGTTCACATTCATTCAATCCCAAGTCTTTCCTCTTAGAGACCAATGGCCTCAGCTTGTGCCAGCCAAGCAGGCTGAGCATCACCCTGGACTTGGCCCCTACAGGGAAGCTCCCTTGGAGGTCCTGCCTCCATTCTGTCCCAGCCCAGCCCCATCAGCTGGCTTTCCGTCCTCTTCCAGGATACGTGGCTTTACCACCTCACAGTGGCTACGGGTGGCAGCAGTGCCAAGGTGGGCACTGCCTATGAGCAGCTCATTGGAAAGCTGATGGATGGTGAGGGAGACCCAGGTAAGCCAAGGGTGGCCATCACTGCTGGGCTGGAAGGCACTGGCTGAGTAATTGGTGGTTGGGAACCCCAAGAAAGCACAACCACACCCTGAAGCTGTTGGGAAACCATCTGAGCCACAGAAGGGCATTCATGTCCCATGCTCCCGGGCCTTATTTCTGGAGAGAATACTGGGGAGACCATTCAGTATCTGGGGGAGTTGTCTTGGGAGCAGACACTTGGTCAATGTTTTACTTGGTTCCCTGCAACTTTGCTGGCCGGACAGAGGGTTGAGGAAAGAAGGTGGCTGGTTAATCTGTAGCTAGAGGTGGTTAATAAATGAAGTTAGGATCAGGCTGACCTGAGCCTGGCGCATTTAGAAGTCTGTATTTTGCTGCTGATTCTCAGGACCCTAAGGACCCAAGGGCTCCCAGCACACACCCTGCTCCACTGCTGCTCCAAGACTTGTTCGTTCCAGGCTGACACACATTCCTCTATCCAGACCTGACACTGCAAGGAGGGGGCCTCCCCTGCACGCGCGCGCGCACACACACACACGCTTACATTCAGATGCCCATGCCTTGCACGCTCACTCCTACTGCAGCCCCACGAGCAAAGCAGTAGCTGCCTTCCTGTAAGCTGTGCTTCTGAGTGTGCTGAATAAATGCAGTACACACCTGCCCAGCCCATGCTCTGTGGGTGTAAACGCAGCACAACCCGTGTATCCAGACTGAAAGCCCTGTCTTCCCTGCAGATCAGAGCGGGGGTGGGGGGCGCGCTCCCTGGTCCCTCCGCAGTGCTGACTGCCCCTGCTTTCCGGTGCTGTGCTCCGGGCAGACTCCCCACTCTGGAGGCACCCCATGCTGTGCTACACCACAGACGGGCTGTACACCTCCCTCACCACCCTGCCGTCCGAGGCCCTGCAGACGGAGGCTGTCAAGCTCTTCAAGGTAAAGTGGGAGCCGAGCCCAGGCCCACAGTCTGACGGTTGGCACCCTTGCCCTTGGTTCTGTCCAGAGCAGTTCTGCCCACCGTGGTGATGAAGACCCGGGCAGTTTAGAGGGTGGCTTACGGAGGGATCTGAAGAGGATGGGAGACAAGTCTCTCAGGGTTCCCACCGTGTCCTTTATGGGGAAGATACTGGAAGCTCTGGGACGTCACCCCGGGCCCTTGAAATGAAGAGCTGCCTTCCTGGAGTGCACAGCGGGAAGGGGCAGGTTTCTGTTGCTTCTGGACCTGAGAGGTTCCGGCCTATTTTAGGACGTTCTTTGTTCCCCTCTGAATCTTCTATTTAAAAAAATAATAATAAATATGTCTTGTAATGGGAATATTTAAAGAAGGAAAGATCCTCTCCCAAAGTAGCCATCTCAGTAAGCATAGATATTCTCAAGCAGTAACGCTGCTCGCTCCGAGAAAGCACTGTCTGCAGTGAACCGGGGCCTCCCTTGAGCTCTGAGGGGGTGGGGGGGACAGCCCAATCTGTCCCAGCCACAGGGGACAGTCATCAAGGAACCGCCCGAGCCCACCGTCATCTCCCTGTAGTCCTGCCAGCTCTTCATCAACGTGCCCGTGGAAGCCGCCTCGGTGGACTACCATGTATCCCTGGCGCAGACAGCGCTGCAGGTCTGCCTGGCTCACCCCGAGCTACAGAGCGAGATCTACTGCCAGCTCGTGAAGCAGGCCAGCTGCCGCCCGCCGCAGAAGTCCTCCCTCATGCAGGTGGGCGTCCCTGGGGCAGAACAGCTGTGGGCCAGGGCTGCCCAGGAGGTGGGAGAGGTGGAAGGAGGTGATGGGGCACATATCCTCCGAGCCTGGCAGCCAGCAGGCAGCCTCGGGGCACAAAACTGTCCCGCTGTCTCCTCCGTGCCCCTCCTGGATGTCCGCACACAGATTGCGTGACTGCGGTTCTGGACGGAGCCTGGCCAAGCTGGCCCTCCTGGTGCCCACAGGAGGTTGGGGGCTGTGGTTTGGAGGGGCTGCTGATGGCTCTGCAGCTCAGGACCGTGAGGGCGGTGGCGCGCAGACCCAGCACTCACCCTGCACTTCCTTCACCCCCAGTGCTGGCAGCTCCTGGCTCTGTGCGCCCCCCTCTTCCTGCCTCAGCACCACTTCCTCTGGTACTTCAAGCAGCAGCTCCAGCGCCATGCGGATCCCAGGTGAGATAGTGCCCCTCTGGCGTGATCAAGAGGGACGCCGAGGGAGACTGGGATGGATCAGATCACCCCTGCTCCCTGGGATTTGTGTGGTGGCCATGGAGATTTTGCCCGTCAGCACGTACACTGATGGGCACATGGCGATCCAGGCATGCTGGGCTCCAGGCATGCTGGGCTCCTCTACATGCCAGTCCACGTAGGCACGGGTATTCTGTAGGGGCTCTCATGTGAAGCTACAGTGCCCCCACATCATCCCCATATTTTCATTCTCTGTTGCCATGTTTGTTTCGGGCTCCTGCAGAAAACAGCCGTGCCAGCAGCCTGCAGCAAATAGATCCTGAAAGACAAATTAACACCCCAGACCAGTCTTCAGGGCTGCTATCACAGCCTCCCAGCTGCGGGTTCAGTCCTACAGGTTATGTGTCAGTAGGGAGCCGGGGGTGAGTGGATTCCCCAGTGTTCCTTTTTCCCTTCACCTGTCTTTTAGAAATGAAACCGGCCAGTACGCCACGTACTGCCAGCGGGCGGTGGAGCGGACGCTGCAGACTGGGGAGCGGGAGGCCAGGCCGTCGCGCATGGAGGTGGTGTCCATCCTGCTGCGGAACCCCTTCCACCACTCCCTGCCCTTCAGCATCCCTGTGCACTTCGCCAACGGGACCTACCAGGTGACCAGGCTGCCGCGCTCCCTGAGCTGAGTCTTCTCATGTCACCGACCCAGAGGAGAATCCCTTTGGACAAGAGGGTGCTGAGCCTCCGTAGGCCCAGCAGGTCTTAACAGGCAGACCAACTGAAGGACAGCCCTGGGGTTTAGAGGGCGAGCAGGGCCATTTGCACCAGTGTGGAGGGAGGAAGGAGCTTGAATCGCAGAGGTGCTTCACTCTTCGGGGCCTGGGAGATGGATCTTTTGAACCCACTGCACGAACAGGGACGCTGAGACACTGACCGAAAGAGTGGCCTGGGAAAGGGCCCCCCAAGAGAGTCGAGTATAGCATGTGGGACTGCAGTTCACTGTGGGCAGGCTCTTCCCTTAAGCACTCACCACTCCACGTGGAAACCAGCTCCCTTTGGCCTTTGCGGTCGCCCTTTCAGACGGCCCTTGTGGCTCAGCTGGTAAAGAGTCTGCCTGCAATGTAGGAGGCTTAGGTTTGATCCCTGGGTTGGAAAGATCCCCTGGAGAAGGAAATGGCAACCCACTCCAGCATTCTTGCCTGGAGAATTCCATGAACAGAGGAGCCTGGTGGGCTACAGTCCATGGGGCCACAAAGAGTGGGACACGGCTGAGCGCCTTTCACTTCACTTGCTTCTTTCAGTCGCGCCTCTCCACCTCCTGGGCCCTGACCCCGCCACTGGCCCCTCTCCCGGCAGGTGGTGGGTTTTGATGGCTCCTCCACTGTGGACGAGTTCCTCCAGCGGCTAAACCAGGAGACAGGCATGAGGAAGGCCTCCCATTCTGGCTTTGCCCTCTTTACAGACGACCCTGCTGGCAGGGACCTGGAACACTGCCTGCAGGGGAGCGTCAAGGTGATTTCCCCCACCCCCAAGCCAACTGAATCCCTCCTGCGCCACCTCGGCCGTCAGGATTTTGTGTTCCCAGCCTGTTGGAGACTAGCCTGAGGTGCGCCCCCAGGCCAGCATTTCTGTGCCATCCTAAAATGAGCCCATACAGGCAGAATTGTCTCTGCCCTTGTCTCTGGAGAGATCTCCACATCCCGCCCTCCCTTGAGAGAGACTCTTCAGTTTCCGGGGGGAAAAGCTGCCTCTCAGCTCAGTGTTGGAAGGACAGGGAGGTGCTTGTCAGCATCAGCCCCACCTGGGCAGAGCCCCCTGCCAGTTCTATACGCACACAAACGCATAGACAGACAACTGTATGCTGGACCCAGCGGATGTTATGTTGTACACTGGCCACATGCTCTTACCTCAACTGCCAAGGCCCCTACTGTGCTTACAAGTTCCATCATAAAGAGGTAGATCCTTATAGTACTTCTGTATGGACTTTTGAGTGGGATTCGAGCCCTGTGTTGGATTAGGGTCTGGGGTTAGAACTGCAGGGCATGCTGGCTGTTTGTGGGAATGTGCTGGAGCAGTTGACAAGGATGAGGGTTTGGCGTCAGTGCCTTCTTTCTTTATGGTGACAGGACAAAGGCTTCTATAGTCTTACCATTGCCTGGAAAAACTATGCCATGTACCTTCTTTGTAAATGCCTGGCATCTGTAAGCCTTTGTTACACAGTAGGCCTCTGGTAATACTTGTTGAGGAGAATGGCGGCTGGTGGAAGGAAAGTGGAGCTGGTAATAAGGGGCCATGGTTTTTGACTGGGGCCTGCCCAGCCATGGGAGGCCGTCTCAGATGTTAAGGCAGTGGGGGGGCAGGGTTCCGTGGTTTGCTGCCCACACCACACTCGGAGCTCCACCTCTGTCTGTAAGGAAGTCACTGGCACCCTGGGTCCTGGGAGCATGAAGCCCCCTCAGGTCAGCCTCTGGATGGAGAATGACCATTCTGCTCTGCCTGGGTCCAGGCATGACTGGACCTTCTTCCCCTCATCGGGGGCTTTTCTGACTTTGCTCTTTTGCATCTTGCAGATCTGTGATGCCATCTCCAAGTGGGAACAAGCCCTGAAGGAGCTGCACACCGGAAAGTCTGAGGGTGGCACACGTGTTGTGAAGCTGATGTACAAGAACAGGTCCTGAGGGCTGCCCAAGGCGGGACCGAGCAAGAGGCCTGCTGCTGGGGTGCAGCTCTTCTCCTTTTCACTGGAGGCCTGGCCTTCACAGACAGGCCCACAGATACAACACTGCCCATTGGTCCTGAGCTGGGGGCCCAGGCCGGCCCTGCTGGTCTCGTGAGACCCTGGACAGCTCAGGCTCTCGGTCCCTGCACTGTATCTGCACGCTCACACATGCCTGCAAACACACACACACACATACACCCCTGAGCCCCAGCCAGCTTCCTCAGGTGGCTACATGTGCTACATTAAGAGAGGAAGATTTTGAGCACTAGATATTTAAGGCTAAAGAATAATTGCTCCTGTACCGATTCCAGGAAATACAGGAGCCATCCTGACTTTGAGCCATATCACTTTGAGTAAGAAAATTTCATCTCAAATATGTCTCTAGGCAAATAATTTCCATTAGTCTCTTGGCATCTTAATTTATCCAGTTCCCTAATAAACTATGAAAAAGGAGCTTCCCAGGTGGTGCTATGGTAAAGAACCTGCCTGCCAATGCAAGGCACCATGGGTTCAGTCCCTGGGTTGGGAAGACCCCCTGGAGGAGGGCAAGGCAACCCAATCCAGAATTCTTGCTTGAAGAACCCCATGGACAGAGGAGCCTGGCAGGCTACAGTCCATAGGGTTGCAAAGAGTTGGGCATGACTGAAGCGACTTAGCGTGCATGCACCAGGTACCAGCTTCCCCTCACCTAATCCAGTAAGTCTAAAGGTGAATTCAGAATTAACCACACACTACTGTTGCTGTGAGATCTGGTGGCCCTGTATTTTCTGTGTCCTGCTTGGTTAAATTTTCTGGAGGCAGTGGAAAACAGACTCACAAATGGTATAAGAAGAGTAGTTTTTTTCTTTGGAAATCAAGAGAAACGGATACAGAGACAGCTTCATCTGTTCAGGATTCCAGTTGATTCCTGGCTTCTCTCTTTCTCTCCCTTAGGCTGTATTTTCGGAGTCAAGTCAAAGGGGAGACAGAGCGAGAGCGTCTGCTGCTCGCCTCCCAAACTAACAGAGAGATAGTGGCAGGGAGGTTTCCTGTCAACAAGGAGCTGGCTCTGGAGATGGCTGCCCTGATGGCTCAGGTAAGGTTCTGTTCAGGAATCAGGAGGGTCAGGGGACCATCTTGGACTTGCAGGCAGAATGCACCACACGGGGGGAAACAGAAGATTCTGCAGGTTCTGAGCTGCCAGAGAGGGTGGCCTTGCTGACTCCTTACCTAGTAGAGCATCTCCCTGCAGACGCATACTGAGCAAGCCGGAACCCAGGGGCCTAGGTTTGAATCCAGTCACCTAACTGCTGTGAGATCTTGGCCAACTTACTTTTCTTATCTATACTTTAGTTCTCTTTTGCATTTTGAAAGCAAAAATCCTTACAGTGTTGTACTATGATTCTTAGATAATGTATGTTGTAAAATGTGTACTTACCAGCTGTCAAACACTGCAGTGAGAACTGGGAAAAGGGAAGGTGCATTCTGGCTTTGACTCTTCTCCCTGTTACCTTTAGGAGGCTGTCTTGCCAAAGGCATCTGGGATGCCTTCATGGTTCCCCTAAGAAAGAGCCTGGATTTATATGATGGAGAAGAAGGAGATATAATAATAGTTGATCTTTAATAAACATGTACTGAATATGCTATAGAGGGCCCTGTGCTGAGTGTTTTATATGCATTACCCTATTAAGTTCTCATTCTTACTTTGTAGGAGAGTAAACTGAACAGAGCTTAACTTGATTGTGGTTTCAAAGCTGGTAAATGGCAGAACTGGGATTTGAGTCAAGCATCTGACTCCCATGGCCACATTTGGAACACTGCTATACTGTAGGATCTGTAGCATCTTCAGCCCTGTATCCCATAGTTTGGGATTAGAAGCCAGAATATCTGTAGTGTTGTCTGCCACTGATTAGCTGTGTCTTTGGATAAGGCACATAACTTCAGCTGCAAAATGAAAGTTGAACTTGACAATCTTTAATATTCTTGGACCTTAAGATTTTTTTCTCTGGTGTCTGTAAAACTTGAGATAAAGGGTCTGTTCACAAGAAATGTTTTTTTTCCCATCCATCCCCTCCTCACCAATAAAGGAATGAAATGATGGTTTATTGTACCTCTCAGCAGGCCCGCACCCATACCCTATGCACATCCAATTTCCTGACTTGTCCCTCCGCGTGCTTCTACTGCAGGTAGAGTACGGGGACTTGGAGAGGACCATCCTGCCGGGGCCTGGGGGTACACTCTCTGCCAAGACTCAGCATCACCTCCAGCAGGTCCTGGACAGGTTCTACCCAAGGCGCTACAGACATGGGGTTCCCGCTGAACAGCTGAGGTAGGCTGCAGGGTCTTGCAGGGAGCCACTGTGGGGAGACCTCAGAGCTGCGACAGAAACATGGCGCCCTGTCTCTCCATCCGTCCAAACCAGGCTCCTGGCAGACCAGCTGACCACGAAGTGGGCGGCACTGCACGGCTGCTCCTCTCCTGAGTGCATCCGCATCTACCTGGCAGTGGCCCGGAAATGGCCCCTCTTTGGTGCTAAGCTCTTTGCTGCTCAGGTAAGTGTGAGCGTTTCCAGTGGATGGAGTGGGTACCATCCCATCTGGAAGCCCACCATCCCATCAGAAACTCCCCTAAGTTCCTCGCGGATTCCATTCAGGTTTGAGCCAGTTCAGTCCGTAGCGCCCGCCTGCACACTAGCAACCACTAGGGGTCGCAATCTCTCCACCCACTTCTTGCCTGCTGCACGCTTTCCCTGGTCCAGAGCAGTTGTGACTTACTGCTTTTGGACCAGGATTATTTCTGGGTGACCCTCAACTTTCCTCTATTGACTTCTTTCCCAATCCTACCTCTGGAGAAAAAAGAAAAAAGATAGGGTTAACTAATTCTCAGCGGGGTTCAGACTTGATGTGGACGTCCCTCTCAAGAGTGCTTTCATTTGAAAAGAAGTTTGAAAGGACGTATTAGTGTAATAACCTAAACAAACACATCTCCACTGACCTGGAGTGGCCCCGGGGGGATGTGACTACTCAGGCAACAGTTCATTTCTCCTGCATGAAGGCCAGGTGGCCAACAGTAATTTCAGTTGGAATTTTCCTTCACTGGGTATCTGGTATGTGTGAACTTGGTACATAATCACACAGAGTGTCCTGTCTTCGATGGTGGATTGCGGTCCTGTTCACTGAGGACACAGATCAGACAATAGACAGTCACTCATTCATTCAATGAAGAACTGTTGAGCTCCTGGTATGTCTCAGGCATTGTGCTGGTTGTTTGCGGTTACAAGACGTAAGCAAATCCGACACAGTCCTTGCCTTCATGGAGCTTTCTATCTAGTAGGGGAGGTCCACATTAATCAAATAATAATTCTGTCTCTAAATACATATATAATTTTTTTACAAGTTGTCACAGTGCCATGAAGGAAAAGTACCGGGGTGTTATAAAGGCATATAACATGGGGACCCTCTTGGCCTGGAAGGTTGGGGAAAGCTCCTGATGAAAGAGACATGTCCATCTCTGCTCCCAGACTTCTGGGTAGAAGAGACAGGAAATCTAGATTGCCCTCATGCAACCCTGGCAGGGGAAATTAGTCATTCTAGGACTTGTCCACCAAATAGTCACTTTTCTCCCTGGTAGGACCTAAAGCCTTTAAGGTTGCATTACTGTTTTCCTGATTTTTTAAAAAATAATCCCTAGAAAATTGGTTAAAGCAGGATGCACTGGTGCTGGGAAAAACTGGGTGGAATGCTTTCAGTTTCTGAGAGCCAGGAGAAGACAGCCTCTTCTCCATGCCTGTGACGAACAGCCAGGGCTGGCCTCTGAAGCAGGAACAGGGTGTGCCTTGCTCTGTACTGTAGCAGGGTGGGCTGTGGGTACTGCAAGAAAGTGATACCCTTCCCCACTCAGCCTAGTTTGTAAGTGGCCAGAGCTCCAAGCCAGACGCCTCCCGCCACGAGCAGTCTGTTATCCAGCATGCTGCACAAATACCATCTTCTGTGTTTTCCAAAAGGAGAAAAAAGTTGGAAATCACTGCCTAGGAGATCCCTGGATGTGCCTTCTACCTCAGAAAGCTCTAGTGGTTCAGAATCCTAGCTGTGACTCAGTCTGATGGGATTTTCCTGTTCCCCCAGCCTGCACAGCTGTCTTCCAAGGAGAGAGCTCTGGTGTGGATTGCTGTGAATGAGGATGGAGTCAGCATCTTGGACCACAACACTATGGTATGGGAGGGTGAGGGCTGGCTCCCTGGCTCCTCCTGTCTGCACTCAGAGTCCTGAGCTGAGACCGTGGTTGCTCTGCCCCCACGCCCCCCCCAAGCACTACTGTCCTCTAGTCTAGTCACAGCTATAGACATTTGAATGGAGCTCTCCAAAGTGTGGCCACTTCAGACTTCTCTTTCCTGGTTTGATGAGACTCCCAGCTCAGGAGGCAGGGGGAAGGCTGCCCAGGAACTAACTGGATCGCTTCTGACAGCAAGTGCACGTCACGTATCCCTACTCTTCGGTGACGACCTTCGGTGGCTGCCGAGATGACTTCATGCTTGTGATCAGATCCCTTCCAGACCAGAGCTCTGGGAAAGGCCACGTTGAGAAGTTGATCTTCCGGATGGCTGCTCCCAAGGTGGGCCTGAAAGCTGCTAGAACATTTTACTCTGATCAGGTATGATGAGGTTGGGCTTGGAGCATAGAAAGGAAACTGAGGTTGTGATAATACTCCAGAAGGGCCCCGCCCCGAACAAAAACGTCTGGCCTTGTCTCTCATCAGCACTCCTGAGGATGCTGGGCTGGTAGGTAGAGGGGCTGGTGGGGGCACTCCTCACGCTCCTTCCGTTCTGTCAGCCACCGCACCAGGCAGCTTAAGCTGGGGGGCCTCTCGCTGCTCGTCCTTGCAGCAGGCCCAGGCCCAGGGCGGCTTCCTCCTCCAGGCGCTCTCACCTTGCCTTGGGCTCTGCTGTCCCAGCACTGGTCACAAGTGGGCCAGTCAGCACCGGCTCCCCCTTCCCTGGGGTTTTGAAGAAGGCCCAAAGACCTGTTTCACTTTAAGGGCTTTGTTCCTACTCAGTACAGGAAATGTTGATTGGCAAAAATAACAATTCCAGAGACTCTGAAACCGAAGTTCTGATTTATAGTTTCTGGTTCCCTTCTGAGCAGCTGGAAACCCTGTTGTTTTAATCCTAAAGCTGGAGTTTGACAAACCTCCTCCTTTAATACTGCCCCTGCCGAAGGAGAGGACACGCAGGTCCCTTCCTCCAGGGAGGCCGCCTGCCCCGGCTTGGAGACAACCAGAGTGGAACGTTGGTCCTCCTGTTTTCAGGAGGTACTGTGGACTCCAGACGCCCATTTCACTGGTTGTCTGACCCTCACCAGTAATGATCCCCCGCCTTGGACATTTCCACCCTGGGTGGGTATTTAAGAGACAAACCGAAGCCCAAGAAGCTTATGTACCCAGTGCAACAGCTAGTGCGAGAGATAGCCAGAATTCAAGCCAAAGCTAGTTCCATTCCTTCATTTCTCTGTTGTCTCCTTAGATTGCAGAGATGACCTTCATCTTGGCCAGCTACATGAACCACTGCTCCACAACTGTGAACCCACCCACCGCCCCCACTGCTGCGTGCCAGCCATGGGAACTGCATGGATGACAGTCCTTTGCTTCTGTTCCCTGTGCTGCCAAGGGGCCAACGTCACTGTGAATATTTCTCCTGTCCTTTTCCCCACCACCGCCTGGTGCCCCTGGGATCAGAGACGTGCATCCTCGGGTGTGACACTACTGTGATGGCTCTGACGGCCCCCTGCAGCCCGCCCCGGTTGTTCTGTCAAATGTGTACCTCGGTCTCCATGAAGCCTTTACTCTCCAGGGGCCTTATCATGCTCCAGGGCCAATCTTTAGAAATCCAGACCCAGTATAAAAACCACTTTTCCCCCCCAAAAATACTGAGCTGTGGACACTGTTCAGTTCTAGATACAGGGTTGGCCCGCAGTCCCTGACTACTGAGGGCATCAGTGCTGTCCGTCAGTTTTCCTGCACTGCTGTCCTCAGGGAGACTAGTGTTTTTAATAATGTCTGTGGTCCTCACGCAGGGGTTTATACTTGAAGTTTTTCTGACATCCCTGAACGGGAGAGGACTAGAATTTCCAATTCACTTGAACTTCAGCAAGAGCCTGGAACTCACTCAGGCTAGACTTTCTTTCCCACATGGGAGAGGTATTGGCGAGGCTGGAGACAAAGGAGTCGACCCACCTTTCCCCTTCCCCTGCTACACACGAGGCATCAATGGCGCCCTTCCAGGGCAGCGGCCCCTGTCCCTGCAGGACAAGGTGCTCTACCCCGAGAGTGGGGCTCTTCTCCGCACACTGGACTGTCAGCCCAACTGAGTACAAGCAAGGGCAGGGATGGGTCCACCTGACCTCTCCCTGTCTCGTTTTAACGACTGGACAGGGCTCAGTGAAGGCTGTGCTTACTACTGTAGAAGGTGGGCATCACTTATTCCCCTGCTCATTGAAAGACCGAGCAAATGCATCCTGCTCTTTGCTACTCTGTGAGGCCACCAAAAATGACTCAGAAACAGAAGATCCCCACTCCAGGCTTGTGAGCCTGGATTTGCTTAAGACGTCTGGTGAACTTGCACTGGGAATTAGTTTGAGGGCAGAGCACACACACGTGTTATCTGATGCCTGAGAGCATCTGGTGAAAGAAATTCAAAGTTTCTTTCACTTTTTGCCTTCCTGATGATACCAATATCTCTCCAACCCCCCCAAGTGAGACCTGCTGTTGAGTGCAGAGATGATCTTGTCTCCGCCCTCCCCTGACAGGAAAAAAAAAAAGACGAAAGAGTTCATTTATACTCTGACTTTCCAACACTGGAGAAACTGAGTTTTATTTCATAGGTCTAAGACAGTCTTATCATTTTTCAATAAAGTGCTGAACAAACTATATGGTTTAGCAATAGCATCCACGAACCAAGCCTTTAACCCAAACAAAGTGTGTCGTGGGGGCACACTGCTAAAACTGCAAGGCTGGAACTCGTTTATCTGAACACCTCAGCTGCTGTAAGCTTCCCCTCTCTCACGCTTTAAACTGAGGAGCATGATGAAAAAGGCAGCACATCAGTGTGTCTGCCTCTTTTAAATGAACTGGACTTTGCCAGGCTGGCAATTTTATAGCTGCCTCCCATTTTGGTTTCTCCCTTTCCCCCAGGATTTGGGATTTAGCTGAGACATTTCTACCTCAAACAAGTCACATGTCACATGTCCCACAGGCTCCTGATAACCCTTCCAGGGCTGGTGTAAAAGGCAGAAGTTACAGCTCTGGTTTTGTAATATCTTGAGTATCTCTAAGGCAAATAAGGATATTATCATCTACAGGACCCTGTACAGAACTACTCTGCATAGAACACAGGAGCTAGGTGGACAGAGACTAGTCTTTTGTAGGACATTGCTTCCTACTAACCAGTCCCTGAAGGGATTGCTTTTTTCTTTCTTAAGTTTTATACAGGAATATTGCACAGTTGGAAAAATTATCTTTTATCAAAAGAGCTGATGTCAGGAGTTTAAAAAAAAAATCCCAAAGAAAAAGCAAGCAGGAATGGAGCTGTATTCATACTGAGTTTAAGAGGGTCAAGCTGTTTCCCCTGCCCTGTCTTCTTCCCCGCCCTTCAGGAATCCTCCCTAGTTTGTTGATTTTATACAAAAGAAACTGCCTTATAAGCAAAGGCTTCTATAGTATGTATGTTTATCCTTCTTCAGCATGTCTGGGAACCAAAGTCAAATTTCTGTCTGGCTTTTTGTTTCATCCCTCTTGGCAAAAGAAGTTTTTGGAGCCATAGACAATGCTGAGTAACAAGAGTATTAATGTGCTTGACACCCTTGACTGAAATGCCATGATCATGTTTGTCAATAAAAAGCAGCTGTCTGAACCAAGCAGTGGTGTATGTTTCAGAAGAAGTTCTGTTTATTAAGAGAATCATCATAAAGTAACCCTGTACAGAACACAGGAGCTAGGTGGACAGAGACTAGTCTTTTGTAGGATATTGCTTCCTAGTAACCAGTCCTGAAGGGCTTGCTTTTTTTCTTTTTAACTTTTATACAGGGATACTGCACAGTTGGAAAAATTATCTTTATCAAAAGAGCTGATGTCAGTTTCCCATTTTCTATAAATTCCAACAAAAAGCCCGAGTGTGCTCACAAAGTGCGTTTAGTCAACATTACTCCTAACATAGAGTTTCGAGGTCTCCCCTCAATTGGTAAAATAAATAAAACCTTACAAGAGGAACACTAAAATATACATTAATACTTTGCCAATATCACACAATAAGTTAGGTTTCCAGTCACCTGCTCTATGGCTCTGAGATCCACCATATCCATACTGGTTTCTCAAACTGTGTCCACTTGAAGGTTTAAAATACAGAAAATAAGCCAGCCACTGTGGCTTAGGAGTCATCTCCTTTTGAAGACAATACTGGCTTTCTGAATGGGTTTGTTGATGTGGCTTTCTGGTGTGCCAGGATCTCCTGGCAGCTTCTGTACACTTCAATCAAGCAGTCCAGCCGGGGCTTGGCACTCTGAATTCCAAAGGGGGAGAAATGCAGAGTCAAGATGAACATTAAGAGACTGATTAGTGGTGTTGTGTCCATGTGCAACTTTGATCTCTCACCCACAACCCAGGGGGGTCTAAATGGCACAGGTGTGGGCTCAGAGAGGCAGAAGTTCAGGCCTCACAGGACTTTGCTGAGAGTAATCCCTATCCAGGCCCACAAACCAGCCTGTGAACTGTAGGAAGCAGGAGCTCAAAAGACAGTTTTTAATCTGTCTAAATTTCATGACCTCCGCCTAACAGCAAGAAGGGAGTAACAAGGACAGACCCTCTTGGGAAGTGTCACAAGCTGTGAAGCAGCTCTCAGAGACAAGAAGGGCACTTTAATATGTAAATATTTCAAATTATTTTGTATAATGAATACAATCAAAAGAAAAGCGACAGAATGAGAAAAATGTATGTGGAAAGTTGGCTACCTAAAATACATTGTTACAATGCATAATCAATATGTATTATCTGGTTGACTAATAGAGGAGATTGATAGCTTAAAACAAGAGAAAATACTGATAGGTAATACTTACAAGGAAATATAAAAGTCTGTTATTTAAAGAGATACAAATTTAGTAACTCTAAATTCCTTTATATACTAAACTGAAAAATAGCTAAAACTACTGTTAGACAAGACTACATAAAAACAAGCACAAATTCCCAAAAGTAAAGTTGTCTAATCTCTAGAGCCAAATCTCAAACACTATTATATTAAAATCTATGAAAGTATTCATAAGCTTTAATAAAATTTTGAGATATAATGCAAAAGATTTTTAGCTTATCTGCCTTAAATCCTTTGTGAAAAAGGCAGTGAGGCAGAATTAACTGCATATATAACTTTATATACCTATAAAATAGTTTATTGTAATTATGTTTGTATGTTTTTTCTAAGAGCAAAATAAAAAATAATCTGGATGTGGTTTTAAAAGCTAGCAAATGATGTGGCTAAATAAACTGATATTTGACATGATATAATTATTTAAAATAATAAGTATAATGGCTTTTGTAGATACATGAAAAAATATATATCAAAAAACCAATTATGGCTGATTCACATTGTTATATGGCAGAAACACTGTAAAACAATTATTCTTCAATTAAAAAAAAAAAGATGTAAAAAAAAAGAGTCAACTGAAGAAAACAAGCAAGACGCCACAATAGTGTGCAGCAGTCTGTACAGATCAGTAGCATCTGTGTAAAATCATATATTGGGCTTCCCTGGTCACTCAGTGGTAAAGAATCCTGCCAATGCAGGAGACCCAGGTTCCACCCCTGGGTCGGGAAGATCCCCTGGAGAAGGAACGAGGCAACCACTCCAGTATCTTTGCCTGGGTAATCCCATGGACGGAGGAGCTTAGAGGGCTACAGTCCATGGAGTCTCAAAGAGTTGGACACGACTTAGTGATGAAACAACAGCAAAAATCACATACTGGCAGACTGACAGAGTCGAAGCAGGTGAATGATGATATATATGCAGAAGCTGCTATACATGTGTTATTATCTCTAAAATTTGTATAGGTTCCTAATATTTCTGAAAGGTTTATCTGCCTCAGAAAGGAATTTCTGAAATAACATTCTAATTCTTAGTAAAAATAGCCCTCAGGAATCCTCAAATATTCTTGACAACAGAAGATTACATTCCTACTGAACCTAAGAAGCAGTGGATCTGCTTAGAGAAGGAGTAAGGTAAAGGACTTCTCTAGAGAAAAAACTTAAGAAAAGTCTTCTGTGCTCACCTGGAAGAGGGGTACTACTTGGGATATCCCATGTGGTTCCACTGGATCCTTCAATAAAATGCAGAGGTAGTAAATCACCTTCTGCTGTAAGAAAAATAAACCAAATAGGAGAGATCTAGGTGAAACTCAGTTTTCTTTCTCAAAACTTTTCATAAATGAAATAACACTTGATAGCTTCTGAACTGAGAGAGAGGTATATTCTCATTCTTTAGAGGAAAAAAGACAACAACAACCAGAGATGATTCTGAAGCTGGGCTAGACAATAAAGTTGAAATGCTAACTCCCTACCCATGAAAACCTACTGCATCTCTTTAAGAATAAAGGGTGTTGTTTTCAATACAAGTTTACTTTTATGGTTTAAAGACATGCCAGCCAAAAAGAAAACACTCTTAAGTACTAGTACACGGAGACTTCAAGTTTAATTCGTGACATCACTGACTTTAGGTATTAAGACTCAGTTTAGATCCAGAACACCCCATGGGCTGCCTCCTCTAGGGAGGCCTGTAACATTTACCACTTTAAATACTTACCATGTAAATAGCCTCACTTTAAATACTTACCATGTAAATAGCCTCATTAATGATGACATCTTTCACCTTGCCCATCTCAATGAAGGTGGTGCTTTCTTTGCCTGAGGCATAGGATGAGGTCATCTGGATGCCCAGGGAATCAATGATTAACAGAGTCTCGTGATCAATCTTTACAAAATGGAGGTAACCAAGCAGGCCTAAGAGAGTGATGAAGATGGCAGCAGAGAGGATCATGCTGTTCTGAAGAGAAAGCCAGACAGGCGGTAAGGTTAACAAGTGTTTCTCTGCTGGTTAATAAGTCAACTCAGACAATGTGGAAAAAAACCTTTGTTTTCCTGTGAGGTGAATGACTAGGAAGAACGTGCATGAAGGAAGAGGAAACTACTTTTATTTGGGCTCTGCAGTGCTAGGGAAGCATATGATAAGACACATCCAGACAACAAATGGGACAGGTCTGGGGAAGAGACCCTCCCTCAGCAGGATATCCATCACACTACTTTCTGAGATTTTTCTTCGAAAATTGCAACTTAAGGACGCAGATTTTTTCTTCTCACCTTTCATCAGTAAAATATGTAGCAAAATCTCAGATTGAACAGTAATAAAATGCTTAGCATGGTGCAGCAGATAACACTCAACAGCCACTCCTGCTTCCTAATACTCCCGCCAACAACTGGTTCAGAAATGGGCCAATGACACAACTCTAGCCAATGACATATAAGGGGAAGTCTGCTGGAGGGCTTTCTAGAAAACTAAGTCCATCTCAAGAAAGAGATCTAAGGAAGAGAAGGCCCCTTCATCCTGAAGTTTTGATGCCCAGAACTACTTGGCCTCTGCTGTGTAGAAAGCTAGGTTGAGGACAGGTAAAGGCTAGAAGATTGGTAAGATAAAAAACCTAAATCAACTGAGCTTCTTATGCCCTCTGGTTTTGTTAAATAATAAAGATCTTACTATTCAGGGCCCTTTTGGTTGCTTTGGGTTATGACCAACTGATGTGTTAAGGCTGACTGACTAGCTGAAATGACTAAGAACTGTGTTAAGGGCCCCCAAAATGGTATTATTTCTTTGATTCTAAGACACATTTACAACCTTTTAACATTTCTGAAGTTGACGTGTGTTTTCTATCAAGGTATGTTTGTTTTCCTCCCCCCCCCCCGCCCCAAAAGGCTATTTAGAAGGAAGGCACAGGGAAAAAAATCATTGGTGACCTATAATCACAAGGGATTCACTAATTTATGGCTGTCACTCCTTGAGGGCAGGAGGTGTTTTACTAATCTTTGTTACTGAAAAGATACCCTCTTTGACCTAACTCTTGTTGAACAATGCAGGCCTTGTTGGCCAAGTTGTAGCAAGACTCTTGCTAAGTGAGTTTAGAGAAGACGCTTACCTTGGTTATCTGATCACCCTGGCCTGCCTTCAGCAAGAATCCTGTCAAATCAATTTAGCCAGAATCCCCCATTTACTCATGTTTCCTTTTAGTAATTTTGCATCCATTGACCACTGACCCTGCTCTTTGGCTAGAAATTTCTACTGGTCCCTGCTGTATTCAGAATTGAACCCAACCTTCAATACTGAGGTCTCTCTTCTCCCATTGCAATAGTTTCTGAATGAAATCTGTTTTTATTGCTTTAACTACTGACCAGCTCCGGTACTTCTTTCTACATAACACATAGTTAAGAGTTAGATAAGAAGTCTAGAAACTATTTGGACCTGTGATCTGCTTTTGTCTGGTCCACATTAAGCTAAGACTGTTTTTGTGGGTTTTTTTTTTTTTAACATTTTTTGAAGGGTTGATAAAGAAAATGAAACAAGAATATGAGACAGAGACCTGCAAAGCCTAAAATATTTACTATTTGGCCTTTTCAAGAAAAAGTTTGCTGACCTCTGCACTAGATAATTATTTATTAGTTAACAAATGGAGGATGGAGAAATCTATGTGCTGGGTCTTGATGGGCCCAGAAATACCTACATTGAGTTAATTAAATGTCTAGTACCTAGTACAGTGTCTTGTATATACTGTGAACTGAATAAGCATTATGGAAGAATGGAGAGAGAGAAACTTTAGTTCTGGCCCTTACAGACTTTAATTAGAGGCAAGATTAAAATATATAAAATATTTTTGAAGAATACTATAATGTAGAAGTGACTAAAACAGGATTAACAGAGAAAGAGAAAAAGCAAGAAAGAGAGAGTTTAATTAAAGCACAAAGGAATATCCTATGAAGACTTCTAAGGAAGCAGGATTTAACTGGTGCTGAGGAGGTGGTGATTATTGACAGTATACTTAGCTGAGAAAAGGACAAGGGAAGAACATTCTAGGTTGGAATAAGTAAGGTAAAAACCTAGAATTTTAATAGAACTGTGAATTCAAAAACTGGGAGGAAAGAAGGAATGAAGAACAGTATATACTTAGGGGATTTTAATATTATTTTTAAATTTTTTATTTTATTTTGGAGTATAGTTGATTTATAATGTGTTAGTTTCAGGTATAGAGCAGAGTGATTCGTTTATACATATTCATATATCTTCACATTTTGAAATTCTTTTCCTATTGAGGTTATTACAAAATATTAAGTAGAGTTCCCTGTACTACACAGTAGGTCCTTGTTAGTTACCTATTTTAAATACAGTAGTGTGTATATATCAATCCCAAACTTCCAATTTATCCCTCCTCCTTTCTTTCCCCTATGGTAACCATAAGTTTGTTTTCTAAGTCTGTGAGTCTATTTGGTAGGTAAGTTCATTTGCTTACTTAGGGGAGTCTGACCCATATCAGCTTTCCTATAATCACTGCCCAAAACTTTATTACCCCTACATTTTTTATACTTAATTTTTCTTTCTGAAATTCTAACAATTCAATATTGGTTTGGATTGAAGTAAAGCCACATGTTTCAATGAATTCCTCCAACAGATTTCTTCTTATCTTAGCTGAGATTCATTGCTCTGATTAATAGTTTTGAGTAGGAGGAAAAATAGAAACTCTGGTACTCAGAGCCCCTAAGAAGTGCTGCAATGGAGTTTAAAGGAAGATAAGGTTACTTTCGGTTCAGTCACTCAGTCATGTCCGACTCTTGGCGACCCCATGAACCTCAGCATGCCAGGCCTCCCTGTCCATCACCAACTCCCGGAGCCCACCCAAACTCATGTCCATTGAGTCGGTGATGCCACCCAACCATCTCATCCTCTGTCGTCCCCTTCTCCTCCTGCCCTCAATCTTTCCCAGCATCAGGGTCTTTTCAAATGAGTCAGCTCTTCGCATCAGGTGGCCAAAGTATTGGAGTTTCAGCTTCAGCTTAGCCCTGGACATTGATGAGGGTAAGTAGGATATACAAGGATGAGAGAGATAAGTACAAAAGGAAGCTGGTGTAAAACAAACCTCCTATTTAAAAATTCTGCTAAGCAAGCCATCGGACAACCTTGGGTTTGAAGCCCCGGTAAGCCATTTACTAGTTTTATCACTTCAGATAAGTTACTACTCTTTTTGAGTCTCGGTTTTCTTCTAAGGCTGAAATGAGGCATTCAGTAAAGCAGCTGGCACTCAGAGGGCATTTAATAAATATCTGTTCCCTCCTCCTCACATGACTATGTGGACAGAACTCAGGCTAGTACTGAAATTCAACTGTATTATATATTAAAATTTTTAGGGGGCAGGAGGAAGAACTGTCCTGGCATTTCAACCAGTTCAACTGATTTATGAACTTTTAGATACAACTGATAGAAATTAGGGTCTTAATTTTGCACATATCTATACTAAATTACCATGCTCTGAAATATGCTCCAGTGGCTTTTTCAAAAGGCTAATGGGGGACTTCCCTGGTGGTCCAGTGGTTAAGAATCCAGCTTGCACTGCAGCGGAGGGGGGTTGGATCCCTGATGGGTGAACTAGGATCTTACAGGCCATGGAGCAATTACAATAAGCAGTTAGCTCCAACTACCTGCCACATCCAAAATAAATTTTAAAAAAAATTCTTTTTTTAAGAAAAACTAATAGATGCAGTATTGAAAACAATACCGAAAGTACAGAAATAAATAGCCTTGCTGTACTTGGCTCTGGTCAGATCACTCCTGGAATAAAAATATGCCACTCAGGACACTACATATGAGACTAAGTTAAAAATGAAAACGGCAATTAGGATGAGTCCTTTTATTTGAGAGTTGTCACAATGCTGCTACATACGAACCTCACAATGCCATGACGCTGGCATAGCAGGTATCAATTCCATTTTAGAGGTGTGAAAACGGAATATGAGAAAACACTGGTGGGAATGAATCTGGAAATTAAGCACAGAAACCACCCATCTCTGAAATCTCACAGTGCTTTAGAAAATACTTGGAAGTGGGGTAGTGATTGTGGGGTGGGGGAGGTCAGACTGCCCTGAAAAAGAGAGATTCTTAACCTGCGTGTGAGAACTGTGGAGGCAAAGACAGTTTCTCGAAGACTGTAAAAGGTATTGTCAGCAGTGATTCCTGTGACGAGTGGAAGTGACGGGTGAGGACGATCCATCCACCTGGTTCTCTTAACTCTTGGAACTGAACTACCGTGAGCCTGTACTACACAGAGCACATGGAAGTTAACGTTTTAGGCTGTCGAGCAAGGACGAGATGTATGCTGAGGGGAACCACAGGGCAGAGAGCAGCGACCGCGAAGCGGGGATAAAGTACAAGAGCGCAAAGTTCACTTAACGTTAAGGAAAGAAGAGAGCTGTTCAGCAGCGGAGTGGCGTCCCCTGAACCAGCGAGTTTCTGCCCTCCAGGCCGCACGCCCGCAGGAGGGTCCGGCGAGAGCTCTGGGCTCGAGCCTAAGACCCCAAAGGTCCTTCCAAACCCGAGCCGCCGACTCCGAGGCCGGCCTTACCTCACAGAGCGTGAAGAGTCCGTAGGCCGCCAGCCACACGGTGCAGGTGACAGCGGTGAGAGCGCGCAACGAGATCCGAGGGCAGCTGAGGCAGAACTCTAGGCAGGACGGGGAGTAGTATCGGCGGTGCAAGGCCAGACGGCCGCCGCAGATATCTGAGAAGCTCCGCTTGTCCTCCATGGCCGGTTCGCCGGCCCCAGGCCCAGCCATGCCGCGCCGCTCTAGCGCGCCCCCCAGCGTCCTCTCGCTGGTTCTGGACTCACTTCCCCGCCGCGGAGTTGGCCACGCCCTTCCTCTGGCGGCGCGCAGCCGCAGTTCGGCGCGGACGGCGGCGAAGGCTGTTGAGGGGTTGTCTTTTCACGCCTTGCGCGGCCGGGATTCTAAGTGTATATACCACCGAGATTCGTAGGGTGTGCCAGCCCCTGAGCGGACAGGTGAAAACCGCTATTAACGTGCTTTCCACTCGACAAACTGATTTTTATTTAAAAGCTAGTGTGTGCCCCCCGGGAGGCAGTCAGCAGGTATTCGTTCATACCATTCACTTATTCATTCATTTCGGTGCCAGGCCATTTTAAGTGCTGAAGGTACAGAGGTGAGCAGGATCGACAAGGTCCCTGGCTTCAAGCAGCTTTCTTCCTATTGAGAAACAATAAAGAAATAATTCCAGAGAGTGCTGTTGCAGTAATATGACCTGCAGGGGTGGCTTGGGAGTCAGGGAAGTCTCAGAGAAAATATAACAGAGCTGCAAGGATATGGAGCCAGACTAGTCTCTGGGAACTCTGGAGGAGGAATTTGCCTGGAAGGAAGACCAGAAAAGACAAAGCCCCCGAGGCTGAAACAGGATTGGCTATTGGAGGAATCAATAGGTCAGAGAGGCGAATGCGTGGGAAATGCAGTTGGAAGTTGGGGAAGTAGGGAGGGGTCAGAACCAGGAGAGTCTGGTAAGGAGATTGGGTTTCAGTGCCTAGTTTTCTCTCCCAGACCACTAAGTGGAGCAGTGAGTAGGCGGACAAGTCCTGGCTGGAAGGGTTAGCAAGAGTGGAGGATGCAGAAGGTATGGATAATAAAATTACTAAACTCATGAGTAATAGAGACCTGTGGTGTGGATTCCCTTTTCTTTTTTACTTGGGATGTGGCCCAAGAGTGCCTGTGTGGCCCATTAAAAGAATTATGGCGCTTCAGCCCTGGGGCACCATTTGTATTAAAGAATTTGTGTATAAAGATGAATGGTATAAAGGTCTCATGAACTTGTGTCCTGATGAAAGTCAGGTTCAGTTTCTCCATCTTCATCCAGGATTTTGTTTTCCTTTTTCTTCAAGCATTATTTTGTTTTCCCAATTTTATCTCTGTATAGTTAATCTTACCAAGCAATACACCCCTTTCATTTTTGTAAATATCATGTTATGTCTTTTATAATGGTAAAAGTGATGTTTGCTTATTATGAAAAATTTGAACAATACAGAAAAGAAGAGAGGCTTCCCTGGTAGTCCAGTGGCTAAGACTCTGTGATCCCAATGCAGAGGGCCTGGCTTCCATCCCTGGTCAGGGAACTAGATCCCACATGCCACAGCTAAAGATCCTGCATGTTGCAATGGACTGAAGATTATGTATGTGTACAACTAAGACCCAGTTTAGTCCATTATATTAAAAAAAAACATTGTCACCATACATGGTTATAAAAAAATAAGAAAAATTTAAACCATCCATATTTCCACTACTCAGAGATAAACACGGTCAGTGTTTTGGGGAACCACTAGTCCTAGAGTTCTTAACTTGCACACCATAGATAAAATCAGAGTTTTATCTTTATTTTCTTAACTTCTGATTGAAATTTAACATTTCTTTTGATTGTGAATTAGGCAACAAACCAATTAGTATTAGTAATACTTGTGATTTTTGTCACTGATAGAAACCACAGATATTTTCATCTCATAATATTCTCAAAATGTCATTTCCACTCATTCCTTCAAAATTTCTACAGTAATTATTAGACCAATTACTAGATCTCCTTATTTAATGTGTCAACAGAGACACATATTACCATAAAACATTTTTTAAAATATTCTGATAACTATTTTAATTCACTTTTGTTTGAAATTCTATGTGTTCATTTACAAACATTATTGTGATAAGGGGTCCATTAGGTTTACTAGATTTACAAATTATCTGTGAACAAAAAATGTGAAGAACCTGTGTAGGCTCAGAAGTTTCACCAGACACCTAAGACACCTAAATGTATTTAAAGTACTTAATTTTTTGAATATTAAATTATTATATTAAATTCTAGGGACAAATAGTATGGTAATGTAATTCCACAATCTTTATAATCACTGTGCTCTATCAGATCGTCTTCTTAACTTGCTTATCTGCAGTAGAAATTGAAATCTGTGTATTTGCCATTTGCTTAGATGCCGCCTGGGATATAAAGTGACAAGTTCTCACAACCATAACCCTATAAAGACAGCAAGGAGTGATATATATATATATATATATATATATATATATATATATATATATATATATATATATATTAGTTCTCAATTTTGGACTTCAAAGTATTCATCAGCCTCAAAAGTTCAGTGGAGGGGACTTCCCTGGCAGTTCAGAGGCTGAGACTGTGCTCCGAATGCAGTGGGTCCAGGTTCAATCCCTGGTCAGAGATCTAGAACCCACATGCTGCAACTAAGAGTTTATGTGCCATAACTAAGATCTGGTGCAGCCAAATAAATAAATAAAACTAAATAAATAAAATTTTTAAAAAAGGTCAATGGAATATAACAGCAAGGAAGGGCGGGCTAATGAAAAGAATTCAAACTTAGCAATTGGCAAGTTTCTCCATGGAGTTTTATTAATGATATCTTTTTGCAGGGTCACTAAAAGAGTCTCATAACTAATTCCCTAGTGAATTTAGTTGTGGAGAAGAAGAGAAAGGAAGTATGAGAAACACATACCCTGTATATGTCAAGGCACTAACTGCTGTGAAAATAAAATGTCAGTAGCATAACAATAAATGTCAGTTTCTTGTCTGTCTATAGTTCATTTAAGTGCTTCTGGTCAAATGATGAGTCATTCTGCCTAGTGGTAACTCAGAGACCCAGACACCTTCTATTTAGCGGCTTCACAATCCCTTGGGGCGTCCTCATGTTTCCTTCCATTGGATCTTCTGCATCTAACAGATGAGGGAGCAAGCATAGAGGATCATTCCTGGGAGGGTTTTATGGCCAAGTCTTCGACAGGCAGAACTCATAAACATGGATATACGGAACTTCAAAGGAGGCTGGGAAACACTGTCTATCAGTATGCCAAGTGGTGAAAGAAAAATGATTCGGTGAACGACTGGCCAGTCTTCGCTACACTTTCCAAAGAGTTCTGGCTACAAGAACTAGAAAATATATTTGAGTGAATTGAGCATTGTGGTGACAGGAATAATCTGACCTACTTTTGATAAAACAGGTACTTACTTCAATTGCTGAAGTTGTTCTTGGAAGCTGAGTGTTTATGAGTAGTAAGAAAAATATCTAGCCAAAGAATTCAGATAACTTTTTATTTTTATGGCCTATGCTAGATTCCTTTTTTTTTTTTTTTTTTTTTTTTGTGGCTGCGATGGATCTTCATTGTGACACTGGGACTCTCTCTAGTTGTGGAGAACAGGCTCTCAAGTGTATGGACGCAGTTGTTGCAGCATGTGGGATCTTAGTTGCCTGATCAGAGATTAAACCTGCATCCTCTGCATTGGAAAGCGGATTCCCAACCACTGGACCACCAGGGAAATCCCCATGCTGGATTCTTAAAACCTTTCTATAGAGCTTTCTCTTAGTATTTACACTTATCGATGGCATAGTTTTTCTAAGAATACTGTCTTATTCTATAGTTTTTATTGTTTATTTTCTTACGATGTAACATTAATGATTGTTGCTACTGTGTTAACTGACAGTAGACTTTATTTAGGACCATGTACTCATAGGGAAGAAAAAGTAGAGGCCCATCTAAGCAAAAAGAAATTCCAAAGAAATAGGGTTTTAAAAAGATAAATATTGAAATTATACCTCAATTTTTAAAAAGCCGACTAAAAGAACTTGAAAAGCTTGTTGCAATTTTGTGAAATTGATCAAGAAAGAATTTACTTTGCATAAAAAAAAGGTAAATATAACACACTTCATCTTGTTCAGGATTTCATTTTGGTTTATCTATGTAGTGTGGATATGCCTCTCTATATAGCGTTTTTTAGTGTGATTTCTTTTGGTACTACATTACGTATTTGAAACTGTTTTAGGAAAAACTTGGTCTACTGTATTTCTCCTTTATCTTACACTACTACCACACTCATAACACTTCTGACACCAAATGCTGGGGAAGGGGGTCCCACACCAAGGACAATAATTCTCTGTGACACCAGTTTTCACACTCCATTATGTTCTGCTGTTCTCTTTTGTTTTTCCTTGTGCCAGCATCAACCTGTCTCATTACTTTACAGTAGGCATTGCTTTCTCATAGTGTTGTCTTTCAACTGTGATATTTTACTTCAAGACTGTTGAAATATTTTACTTTAAGACTGTTGGCTGTTCTAGGTTCTTTGTATACAACATAGTAATTCACAGTTTTTTAAGATTATACTCTATTTATAGTTATTATAAAGTATTGGCTATATTCCCTGTACTGTTCAATATATTCTTGTAGCTTATTTTTTTTTGGCTTTGTTTTTTTTTTCACTTTTGTTTTGCTTATTTATTTTTTAACATCTTACTTATGTTAAGATTTCTAGGTCATGAACCTGGTACTGTATATCTCTGTTTACTTAGGTCTTCTCTACTTTCTCTTAGCGGTCTTCTGCAGTTGTCTTGTACATCTCTCATCACACTTATTTCTAGGTATTTGGTGCTTTTTGATACTCTTACAAATAATATATATTTTAAAAATTGTATCACCTGTTTCTTTTAATAAGATATGTTCATTATTTTCCCAAAAACATCAAATTGAAATTTTATAAAAGAAAATATATTCCTAACCCTGTCACCCAAACAAGTCTTCATTTCTCAAGCATGTGAGTCCTTTTGTTTTAATGTTTTTAAGTATTGAAAAGATGATGTAATATAGAAAATTTGTGAATGAGAAAAAAATTACACAAATCCTAAAGACCTTTCAGTTTTACATATCACTTTTCCATCATTCCCTCTTAGTTT